AAGTTTAATTTTATATCTAACAACATCTCCTACACCTTTTAGAGCTTTGTCTAACATCATTATAGTCCTTTAACTTTGAAATATTTCTTAAAATCTTACTTTCTCATGAATTCTTTACTATGAGATATTTCTCTTTTGTTAGGTGCCTTAATCATAATAATTTTGATTTATTGACCAGTTTCATCCTAATTGTGGTGTTATACTTTATTCTTTGGACTCTTGTCCATCTGGATTTTTCTTATACCATAATCCTTGTAGACTCAGTTTCCTAATTCATAATAAAATTTCCAGGAAACAGTAATAATAATAATAGTGTGTTTTGTTACTATCAATCTTAATTGAAGCTGCATGCCTTAAAAAAAGTTCAGAATCTAAAGTTCAGAATCTAAAGAAGTTTGAAGTTTCTATTATGTTGAAACTCTGCTTTCTTGAAAAAATATTTGGTGCACAATCATGTAGTAACTTTCCTTGACTTTCCTTATGTCACTTAAACTTCATTTTAGAGTAATTAGTGAAAATGGAAATAACTGGGATATTTGTTAGTGAAAGGTCTGACAGTACTTGTTTTTCAAAAAAAGAAAGAGTTTTTGACCTTCTTTAGAGGTTGTATAACCCCGCTATTCCTTGGATACACAGGTCCAATATCATGTTAGACTGGGATCTCACTGTATTCTATTTCTCACAGATTAAACATTTTGTTTATAGGGACTGAATTCATGGCCAGATTACATGAACATCTGAAGTATTTTGTAAATATGAAAATTTCTACAGACAAGTCATGGCAAGGAGTTACCATCTACTTCTCAGGCCATGAGGTTATTATCTTTTTTTAATTTGAGGATTTTTAAAATTTTAATATTCTTATGTAAAGCATATTACCACTTTTTTCTTCTTCTTCTTCTTCTTTTAAATTATATTAATAGACTCCTGGAGAAGGAGAGCATAAAATCATGGAATTTATTAGATCTGAGAAAGCAAAGCCAGATCATGATCCAAACACCAGACATTGTCTTTATGGGTTAGATGCTGACTTGGTATGTATAATGTTTATTGTTATTGTTACTCTGTTTTTGTCATAGTAGTTAAATATCTACAAGACTTAATCTTATATAAAGCACTTTCTGGATAAGGAAACTAATTTTAATAATGATTACTACTTTTATCATTACTATATTTTTAAAATAGGTGGAAATGTGTTCTTTTGCTATTGTTTGTGTTCATACCTGACTGACCTTATTGCTTATGAATACTCTCCTGGAACCAAGCATGCCCTGATTCTTAATACATGACTGTTAATACCGCCTGATCTTATGACTCCATGACCCAAATAACAATATTTGGTTTTTTAATATTAGTGTTATGTAAATATTCAAACAAAAGTAGAAAAGGTAGTATATCTTTGTACCCTCTGTTCACTTTAAAACAATTTTCAACTCAATCCCTAACCATTTTTGTCCTTCCTCCTACTCCCCTGACTTAGTGAAGCAAAACCCAGACATTTTATAATTTAATTGTTAAAGATTTCAAAATGTTATTCTAAAAGACAAGTGTTATTAAAAAAAAAAAAAAAACAAAAAAACCAACCCTGGCCTTCCCTGGTGGCGCAGCGGGTTAGAGCAAAAAAAAAAAAAAAACAAAAAAACCAACCCTGGCCTTCCCTGGTGGCGCAGCGGGTTAGAGCGCAGCACTGAGAAGCTAAAGCCACTTCCGGCATGAGTTCGCTCCCCACCTGCCCTGGAGGTGACCACATGGTGTGGCAGACCTCTCCTGACCTGCCTACTGCTTCCCTCAGCAGTGTGCTTCGTGCATCTGCCTGTTCTGCTCCCCGCTTTGTCTCTGGTGAATCCTCTCACCCTCCGCATCTCTAGCCTGTACCCCAGTTCTGTATGAAAAAAAAAAAAAAGAAAAAAACCCTTGGGCTCTCCCTGGTGGCACAATGGATTCAAGTTTCTCACTATGAAGCTCTCAGAAGCCACTGTAGCATGAGTTTAATACCCCGCCAGGGAGCTAACCCACATGGTGAGGCAGATCTCTCCTGATGGACTGGCTACTCCTCAGCAGTGTATTTCAGTCAGTCTGCCTGTTCTGCTTCCCACTCTGTCTCTGGTGAATCGTCTCACCAACCACACCTCTGGCCCCAATTCTGTAAGCATAAATAAATAAATCTTTAAAAAAAAAAAAAACCCCTCAACAATTGGCATATGCCACATAAAACAAAAATTAGCAATCTGTTTAATATATAAGCATCTATTTTGTATTCTTAGTTCCTTGATTGCCTCATAAGTATTGCATTTATTTTGCTGAAATCAGGGTTGAAATAAACAATAGACATTGCTGTTGGCTGATAGGTATTACTAGATGTTGGATATTAGAATACTATATGAGAAAATGAATTGGAAATGCCCTTTTCTAGTTTTTTTCTGGGTTTTCATATATTAGAAGTATCGTGGCCTCTTGAGGAATCCTACATTCTTTTTTTTTTTTTAATTATTTTTATTTGTGCATACTGAACTGGGGTTCAGGCCAGAGGTGCAGGGGCATTGAGAGGATTCACCAGAGACAGAGTGGGGAGCAAAACAGGCAGATCTATGAGGTACATTGCTGAGGGGAGCAGTAGGCGAGTCAGGAAAGGTCTGCTGTGCCATGTGGGTCACCTCCAGGGCGGGGATCGAACTCAAGCTGAAGTGGCTTTAGTTTCTTAGTGCTGTGCTTTGACCTACTGTGCTACAAGGAAGGGCCCTGAATCCTACATTCTTTTATAATGGGAAAGCTGATGTATTACATTTCTTAATTATTCCCCCCATCACAAATGCAAAGATGTGAATATTAAGATATTTTAAGGTAGAAAAGAATAACCATTTCCCCTTTTCATAATTACATATGGGTCATATTTTAATATTTGTGTATTTAATATATGTTAATTATTTTCTCTTAAGTATGCATGCTTTTCTCTGTATGGAAATGTTTTTATTTGATTGCTTTTACAAGTCTGGTAATAAAATGAGAGAACAGAAATATTTCTTAGTCATTTTTCAACAGATTATGCTTGGATTAACAAGTCATGAGGCACATTTTTCTCTTCTAAGAGAAGAGGTTCGGTTTGGTGGCAAAAAGACACAAAGGTAAATCATGTTGCATGTATGTTGTAGAAAAGAACAGAAATTAAATAGAGACTGTTAATCACTTAATAGATATTTGATCTGAAAATATTTTCTCCCATTCTATGGGTTGCCTTTTTATCTTTTAAATAGTGTCCTTTGATGCAAGAAATTTTAATTTTGATGGAGCCTAACCTATCTTACTTCCATTTGTTTCCATTTTCCCTTTCATTGCTTTTAATTTTACTGTCATATCTAAGAAATCCAATGTCATAAAGCAATTCCTCATTTAATTTTCAGAGATTTATAGTCAACTCTTACATTTAGATCCATGTTGAGTTAATTTTTGTATATAGCGTGAGCTAAGAGTCCAGTTTGTTCTTTTGCATGTTTATATCGTTTTATTAACACCATTTGTTGAAAGACTCTTTTTTTCCCTTTAAATGGTCTTGGTTCCCTGGTCAAAAATCACTTGACCATATATATATTATTTTTGGGCTCTGTAGACCATTCTGCTGGACATATGTCTATTTTAATGCTAGTATCACAGTGTTTTGTTTACTATAGTTTTATATATTAAGCCTTGAAATTGGAAGAATGATACCTCCACCTTTTTTTTTTTTTTCCAGAATTACTTTGGCTTTTTGAAGTTCCCTAAGCTTAATAATTTTTAGGACTGATTTTTTTTGTTTTTATAAAAAATATCACTACAACTCTGGTAGACGTGGCATCAAGTCCATAGATCCCTTCGGGTAGTTCACATCTTAATATTAAATAACTGTTATATCCCATAATAATATTCCAGTTAGAATGCCTTTCCATTTTTTATGACTTCTTTAATTTCTTTCAGCAACATTTTGTGTATTTCAGTGTATAAGTCATTGTGTTTCTGTTTGTATTTTTATATTTTAGTTCAAAGCAAATTTTAAAAAATATAGCTACCATGCTGTATAGTACTTTCCAGCATTTATCTTATAATTGGCAACTTGTAAGTTTTGAACAACTTCAACCCTTTGTGACCTTCCCACAGCCCACCCCAACTATTAATCTGTTCTCTATATTTATGAGCTTAATTTTTTGTTTGTGCTTTTGTTTTGTTTTTTCATCATTGGCAAGTTTATTCATTAGTGTTTTGATCCTTTGGATGGCATTATAAATGGATTGTTTTAATTCCATTAGACATTGCTTGTTGTATATTGAACTTGTACCCCGTAGTTATAACAAATTTGTATTTTAGCTCTGGTAAAACAGGATTTTCTATATATAGAATCAAGATATCTATAAATAGAGATAATTCATCTTTTCCAATTTGTATGCCTTTTTTATGTATACTTTTTACCTAATTGCCCTGATGGACTTCTAGAACAATGTTAATAGCTATAGTGAAGATGAACATCCTTGTCTTGTTCCTAATGTTAAGAGGAAACTTTTCAGCTTTTATCACTGAATATGATGTTGATTGTGTTTTTTCATAAATTCCCTTTGTGATATTAAGGGTATTTCCTTCTGTTACTAATTTTTCTATGCATATTTTTCATGGAGGGGTGTTGAATTTGACAGGTTTTTTTTTTTTTCTGTTCCACAATTGTTTGGAGTTTTTTCCCTTTATTCTAGTAATGTGTTATATTTTATTGGTTGATTTTCTTATAGGAACTACTTTTGCATTCCTGGTATAAATCCTATTTTCTCATGGTGTATAATCCTTTTACTATGCTGCTATCAGCTTATATTTCTACTTAAGGTTAAATTTAAAGTATAGACCCAAAACCAGGAAGGAATATAGGCCATTATTCCAAGCCAAAAAAGATATGGGGAAGAATTCTTGTAATAGTGCCTCACTATTGAAGCATTGGACTGTAGATATAAAAGTGTAGCATATTTTTTTTTATTATTAAAAAGTTTATTTTTACATCATTTTGCACATTTTTTTTTTCATCTCAATTGTAATCCCCACGGGTTTCCCATCACCAAATCACCCCTGTGCCACCACCATAGTCCCGTGCATTTCCCTCCCTTCCCCCATTTTTGATCCCATTCCCCACTCCACCCCCACAGAATGTCTCTGGTCTATGGTTGTTCATTATTTTTGTTATTTTCTCGCCTGGTCCATTATACTCCTGCTATGAGTGAAACCATCCGGTATTTTTCTTTCTCTTTCTGGCTTATCTCACTAAGCAAGTGTAGCATATTTTTTAATTATGTCTTTTCATCCAAAGGTGTTTTAATTAAATTGATGACAAAAAAATAAAAAAGATTCTTGGCAGGGACCTCTGACATGGGGAGTTAGTATGTTGTCGCCATTTTGCACGAATATTCTTCCTTTACTCTGGTTTCCTCCCACATCCCAAAGATGCACACATTTGATTAATTGGTATACATTGGATTAATTGTCCCAGTATGAGTGAAAGTGAGAAAATCCTGCAATGCAATTGTATCCTGGCCATCTTTAAATGGGCCAGATCCCACTAACTCAGCTCTTCCCATGTATTATGTGTTATATAGACTACATTCTTAAATTCTTTGTACAGAAAGTATAATCTAAACCTTTGTTTGAATTTTATTATATCTATTATAATTGCAAATATATTTCTGTCTTTTCAGTACCATGCAACTTTCATATGAATTACATGCACTGATTTAAGAATTGTCATCAAAATAATGTTTGGACTTAATTTTGCTACTTTTTAAAAATTGCATCTTAAAAAATATGTAATTAATTTTGTATGATATTCTGACAAATTACAGAGTATGTGCACCAGAAGAAACCACATTTCACCTCCTACACTTATCTTTAATGAGAGAGTATATTGACTATGAGTTTTCAGTATTAAAAGTAAGTATTAATTTAGCTATAGATCAAAGATGTGTATGAAGAAATTTATATAGGATTTGACTTTATTCCCCATTTTGCTATAGGACAAGATCACATTTAAATATGATATTGAAAGGATAATAGATGATTGGATTTTGATGGGATTTCTTGTGGGCAATGATTTTATCCCTCACCTACCTCATTTACATATTAATCATGATGCACTGCCTCTTCTGTATGGAACATATATTACCATCCTGCCAGAACTTGGAGGTAAGAAAAGTTTTATATCCATTCAAGGCTATTTGAACTTAGTCCTCAACTAACCCTGAAAATGTCACTCAGTTTATTAGATTATGCATGCTCAGATAAAGTGGGAAACGTTGGGTGTTTTTTTTTTTAATCTAAGGTGCCAAACTCTGAAGAAATTTTCAGAAATAAATTTTCTTTCACAAAGTAAATAACCAGAGTTAAGCAGTCTCATTTATTGATAGCTAAAATGATGTCCACTTTAGTTGTTTGAGGAAGCCACCAGAAACTGTTGGTTTCACTTCACTTCTTTCATGTTAAGCATAAAAATTCAGTTTTCTGAATGGTTAAGCATCAGAATATTTACTATGAAGAAAAGACTTTTCAGTTGAATGGCAAGTGACAAAAAGTGGTGATGCAGAATAAGTAACATAAAAAAGGGTAGCAGGTCATTGCATCTTTAACTTAACATCAAATTAAATTGTTTAGATATAGTTTCTTAATCATGTTTAATTCAATTGACTATTATCAAATATTGTTGGAAAAGTGGGAGGATTATTATTATTATGTGCATCTGGAGCTGTTATAGTCAGTTTTAATTCTTTTAGAGTACATATTAGTTCTTATATATTATATAATATGGTAAAATCAAGTATAGAAACTCACGCCAGCTATATAGCCCAATACTGAGTATTTTTTCTTGACTGATTTTTTTCTTGAAAGAATTTTATAGAATTGTTTTTAAAGTATAAATTTAGGTTTTGTTCCTTTTAGGTTATATTAATGAAAGTGGGCATCTCAACTTACCTCGATTTGAGAAGTACCTTGTGAAACTATCAAATGTAAGTAATAGAAGTTTTGTTTCCCTGTCCTGGAGTAGCAGTAAATAATCAGTAACCAGTTGCATAATCTCAGAAGAAAGAAACTTTATAATTTTACTCTAATCTTGTAAAATCATTCTGTATAAATAATTTCACCTAACTTAATTTTCACATAAGTAGAGGAGATCCCCATGTGCATGGAAAAATAACATTCTCTGATTTCCTGTGCCCCAGAAATAAATTTTTATGGGAATTCTTTCATAAATACTAAATTATTCTTAAATAAATTTAAATGTTTCTGAACAGTTTGATCGAGAGCATTTCAGTGAAGTTTTTGTGGACCTGAAGTGGTTTGAAAGCAAAGTTGGTAACAAGTACCTCAATGAAGCAGCAGGTATTGCAGCAGAAGAGGCCAAGAGCTACAAGGAAAAGAAAAAATCAAAGGTGTTCCCCTATTTTAGTGATTTTTCATTTCTTTTGCTATAAAGATAAAGCTGATATTTCTTGCTTTTCCTTCCCCTTCATTTGATTTTAGGGTTGCCTTGCTTTGCTTTTATGTCTATAGACTTTTTATTTATGCATACAGAACTGGGGTACAGGGGCAGTGAGAGGATTCACCAGAGACAGAGTGGGAGCAGAACAGGCTGGCTGACGAAGTACACTGCTGAGAGGAGCAACAGGCGGACCAGGGGAGGTCTGCCGCGCCATGTGGGTCACCTCCCTGGCCAGGGATTGAACTCATGCTGAAGCGGCTTAGCTTCTTAGTGCTGCATTTACCCACTATGCCACCAGGGAGGGCCCTCTCTACAGACTTAAAATATGGTTTGGGTCTTTTTCTTTATTGGGTCCAGTTCTTTAAATCTTATATTTAGCAGCTGTCCTGCAGCACAGTCAGCTCTTCTCCCAAGACTGCCCACCTGTGACTACCCAGGCCTCTCTTTTAACAAATTTGCCCCCTTTAAGAGCAGCTCTTTTTCCCCAGTTGTGACTGTGCAAACATCCTTTGTTTCCCTTCCTTTTTTATAATCTTTTTGAATAATAATAATAAAAAAACCTGGACCTTTAAAAATAAATTTTTTTTCTTAAATAAATTGTGTCTACTTTGTTTTTACAATCTATTAGTAAGTGTAGAAAGCAGGTCTAAATAAAAGAGCACAAAATATTGTTATTATTTTAAAATGTGAATATTTATAGCAGTTAATGAAATGAGACATCGGTTTTTTTCTAGTTTCCATTTAAAATCATACATTTTATATTGCAGTAGGCTGAAAGTAATTAATAGTACAATGTCTAGTAAATGAAGGCCTTCTCTCATAGTGCAGTGGGTTAAAGTGCAGCACTATGAATCTGGTCATGGCAACTTTGGTGTGATATGAGTTCAGTCCTCCAGGTTTTGATCCACATGGTGCAGCAGACTTCTCCTGTCTCACCTGTTGCTCCCCTCAGCAGTGTACTTCATCAATCTGCCTGTTCTGCTCCTCACTCTTGACTCTCGCTATCCCTGTTCCTCTCTCCTGTACCCCAGTTTTGTATGCATAAATAAATAAATCTTTAAAAAATATATCTAGTAAATGTTAGTCAATTAATAAATAATATAATCAAAATATGTTCGAAACAACTCTAAAAACTCTTAAAAATATCTTATTAGATGACTAGATTAAAAAGATGTGGTACATATATATAATGGAATATTACTCAGCAACCAAAAAAAAAGAAACACATGTCTTTTGCAGTAACTTGGATGGAGCTGGAAAAGATGCTTAGTGAGATAAACCAGAAAGAAAAAGAAAAATACAAATGGTTTCGCTCATAGCAGGAGTATAATGAACCAGACGAGAAAATAATAAGAATAATGAACAGTCATATACCAGAGACATTTTGTGGGGGTGGAGTGGGGAATGGGGTCAAATGGGGAGGGAAGTGCACAGGACTATCTGTGGTGATGGCAGATGGGTGACTCGGTGATGGGAAACCCACGGGGATTAAAATTGAGATAAAAAAAAATGTACAAAATGATGTAAAAAAAACTATTATGTTTATAAAAAAAAATCTTACTTGTGCTAGCTTGGAAAATAAACCTCTTCTGAAATTTTCATCAGATTATCCATTATTGCTGGAGTCTGGTGAAATTGAGTTTTCTGTTTTCTCCTTATTGTATTGTTGTATTTAGGTTCAAACCAAGTTACTCTTGCTCTAACAAAGGCAGCTATCCTCATTTTCTCAAAAGTAATAAGTCCTAATTGCTTAGCTTTTCCTCAGTGAAACTTAGCAGTCTACGCTCTGTATTTTCTATATTTTCTTAAGAAAGCCTCTGCAACTTTTGGGGAACTTAAATATCTATACATGTTGGCTCCACTCACTTCAACTCAGTCCATAGGCTTCACAAGTTTTCCTCTATATGTTTGACATTAGAGATACTAGGAAAATAAGAGAAACTGTTGCAACAGCCAATGCTCAGGAAGTTGGCAGAGAGCCTAATTTGAATGACTAAAAGGAAATGGGGATACTAGAGGAGTCACTGGCAATAAGGAGGTAATCAGAAAATAAAGCAAGAAAGAATAAAGTCACAAGTGGAGGGAAACATTGGCAGAGTATGAAGGGTGTTATGAGATGGGAAACCTATGGAAAAGCAGGTGGATTGTATGGAAGAAGATTTAGAGTGGAGGGTGAATACTGGAGTCAGGAGAATGATGGAATCCAGAGATACAGGAAATAGGTAATAGTGGTAATCATTATATTCAATAGTCCAGAGTTTGACATATAGGAACTTTTAAAAAAGATTTCTTTATTTTTTTAATCCGTACAAGAACAGGGGTACAAGCCAGAGTTCTGGTGGTGAGATGATTCACCAGATACAGAGTGGGAAGCAGAATAGGCAGATCGACTGAATACACTGCTGATGGCAACAGCGGGTGGGTCAGGAGAGGTCTGCCATGTGGATCACCTGCCTGGCAGGGACAGCTTCATAGTGCAGCACTAACTCATTGCACCACCAGGGAGGTCCCCATATAGAAATTTTAAAGTTGATAAATTATAAAGGAATTTTAATATTGAACGTGTACTTTTCTATGTAACATGATTATTCTTGAAGTGGTTTGTTTCTTTTTTTGAAACCCATATGTAATCAATTATATTGCTCTTATATTGGTGAGCATTACTTATTACTTATCATGGAAGACCCAAATGATAATTCTACATAATAAGGATTTATAGCTTTAGAAAATAAGTGATATAAACCAAAGGCATTTTAATAGTACTATGTAGCATTTTTAAAATAAATTTTTATAACTTCACTTATCGTTAATGACTTTTTATATATATATATATATTTTTTTTTTTAAAGATTCATTTATTTGTGTATACAGAACTGGGGTATAGGCCAGAGGCTCAGGGGTGGCGAGAGGCTTCACCAGAGACAGAGTGGGGAACAGAACAGGCAGATCTACAAAGTACACTGCTGAGGGGAGCAGCGGGCTGTTCAGGGGAGGTCTGTCGCGGGTCACCTCTGGGGCAGGCGGGAATCGAACTCATGCGGAAGTGGCTTTAGCTTCTCAGTGCAGTGCTTTAACCCGCTGCGCCACCAGGGAGGGCCCGACTTTTAATATATTTTGATAATTCCCTGTTAAATATCTCCCTTTGAACTGTATCTTGCCATTAATGTTATAATTTTAAAATTATCAATTTATGTATTTTCTAGGGCCAGGAAAACTTATGTTGGGCTGCTTTAGACAAAAGTGGAGAAGTGGGAACTTCTAAGGGTTCGTACAAACTATGTATAATATGTTCTTTCTTTGATAAGAATAGTTGTTCTGTCTTCCTTTTGTCAGTCCTATTTTGCTAAGATTAAATGTAATAGACTTCTGTTATAGTTGACAGGCATCTGCTTCAGTATGTATTTCTCAGAGCAATAGTTGGAACAACAATTTATATAATTCTCAGCTTCTGTCTTTCTGGCTTCTGTTTTTCAGATAATTTAGAAGATGAGACCGAAGATGATGACCTATTTGAAACAGAGTTTAGACAATATAAAAGAACATATTACATGACAAAGATGGGAGTTGATGTAGTGTCTGAGTACGTTTTTGACAGTGTTTTTACTTTAAACTAGAAAAATTAGATTTTTTCCCAGCTTTTCTTTGTTTTGTTTTTATTGAAGTAATTTAGATTTACAACATTAGTAAATGATTTAGAAGTATAGGATTATACCCTTTGGGTTACCACACCATAGCCACCACCAAGGCACCAAAAGTATTCTACCATAATTCATTTGTACCCACTCCCCACTTTGTTCTCCTTCTTTTCCTGTCCCCTCTAATGGCCTCAGTTCTAAGTCAGACTTCTCAAGTTTCCTGTTGGGTGATTTTTCTTGACTCTTTGTTTTGTGTCTCTATATCCACATATATCTCCTGATTTATTTCACTTACCATAATCTACTCTGTTCCATCCATGTAATCACAAAAGGCAAGAGTTTATCTTTTAGTAAAGTAGTTAATCTGAAGGATGCTAAGAAACTTTGATGGGCATCGAATCTATATATATATTGCTATGGGTAAGATGGCTATTTTAACAATTTTAATTCTTTCAACTCCTGAGCAGGAAATCTCTTTTCATTTTGTGTCTTTCTTCTTGTAGCAATCTTTAATATGGTTTTCACTGTGTAGGTTCTTTGCCTTCTTTGTTAAGCTTGCCCCTAGATATTTCATTCTTTTTGAGGCAATTGTAATGGGATTATTTTCTTGATTTCCTTCAATCTTCGAGCTTATTACTTGCATATACAAAGGCAACTGATTTTTGTTGATAATGATTTTGTAACCTATCACTTTGCTGAACTGATCGTTGCAGTTAGTTTTCTAGTGGAGTCTCAGTATATATTATGTATATTATCATATCACCTGAAAATAATGATAGTTTTACTACTTCTTCTCTAATTTGTATTATTTTTATATATTCTTCTCTTGAATAATTGCTCTTGCTGGTACTGCCAATACTATGTTGAATATCAGTGGTAAAAGTGAATATGTTAGTCATGTACCAGATCATAGAGGAAAAGATTTCAGTTTTCACCACTGAAAATACAAACAGATGTGAGCTTTTCTCTGTGCCTCTCTCCTTTTTTTAAAAAAAGAAAATATTTATTTATATATTTATACAGAACTGGGGTACAGACCAGAGATGCAGTGAGAGGACTTACCAGACAGAATGAAGAGCAGAATAGGCGGATTGACAAAGTACAATGCTGAGGGAAGCAGCAAGCGAGACAGGAGAGTCTGCTGCACCATGTGGATCACCTCTGGGGCAGGAGGTCAAATTTGCACTGAAGTGGCTGCAACTAATTTGCAGCACCTAACCAGTTGTGCCACCAGGGAGGGCCTGTGCCTCTCCTGTCTTTTCTTCTATAGAGGGGAATTTCCTCAGTCTCTTCTGTTGTGGTCAGTTTTGATTTCCAATGTCCAACAGATGCTCTAGTTTCTCCACTGGGTACAGTGTCACTCTGGAATACTTTAGATTATCATTCTAAGTGCAATTTAGGGAATCCCAACTCTCCCCAAAATTAGAGTTTTCAGAAAACTACATAATTTTGATGGTTGTGGTAGCAGGAGAGAGGATTTTTTTGGTTTCATAAATTTTTGTAGACCTTTCAATTAATATGACTTTGGAAATGGCATTATATGCTGTGATAAAATTGCAAAATAGAAATGATTGGATTTTTGCTTCCTGTCTTATAAAATTAACATCAAATCCATCTCAAAAGATACCTACATTATTAGCCCTGCATTATTACCTAATTCTAAATTTCCTTCAAGGGCCTTCTTGGTAGCTTAGGGGTCAAGTGTCAGCACTCTTACTGATACAGTCCTGCCCACTGTCCCCCTTCAGCGGTATATTTCAGTAAATCCACCTGTTCTGCTCCCCACTCTGTTCTGGTAAATCCTCTTACTCCTCCCCCAGCACCCCCCCACCACCAACCCACACACACACATCTCTGGCCTATACCCCAGATTTTCTGTGCAAAAAAAAAGAGCTTTTTTAAAAAAGACCCAAATGTTCCTTAAGAATTTAACTACAGAATGGTAGCTTTTACAATCCATGGTATGAATTGTGTGTGTTTGCATTTTATTCATTTTAGTTTACAGATACTTATATAGTGCTTACCAAATGCTTGGTACAATTTTAAGCATATTTAATGTATTGATGCGTATAATTTTCACAATTTTTGTTTGTTGAGGTATTTTTTATTTACAACATCGTATATGATTAAAGGTATAGACTCACATCATACCCACTTCCAAAGCACTGAAAGTCCTCCACCATAGTCCATTGTCTCCCCTCCCTACTTTCTTTTTCTCCCTCCCCCTTCTGGTATCCTCAAATTTACAGTCAGATTTATAGATTTTAGTTTTAAATTTATTTTTCCTGACTTTCATTCTCTATATTAAAAATATAAGTGACAGTACCCCATAGTTAACTTTCTCTTTTCCATTTATCTAATCCCTTCCATGTCACAGCAGTTTTTAAAGATAAGCTGAATAATTATTTTACAATAGAGGAATATTAAGGAATAGAGTTGTTTAAGTGATTTCCTCAATATTGTGGCAGAACTCGTACTTAAACTCAGATGGTCTGTCTCCAGAGCTTATGCTTCTAATCCACTTGCTAATATTGCTTTTCTATAAGTTTTGTAAAATAATATTTTCCCTTAACATGTCCAGTACACTTAGATATTTTCTGTACTCACTTTTTAACTTTTTTATAAAATTTAATAAAGCACAAAGTATTAGAGAGTTTCTAGCGTCTACCCAGAGGTATATATATTTTTTCAGACTGTTTTCTAGTCTAGACAGTCTTTCTTTGTGGAGATTTTATATTTATACTGATCTCCAGTAACTGTATTAGAATTATAGGAATTCTAATACAGTTCAGCTGCTCATTTAATGCTATGTCAGATGCCATTAACATGTAGAACTTTTGAGGTTTTAGAAATAAAATATTTTAAGTAGTTATGCTTTTTTTTTTAGTTCTTAGTTCTATTTACTTGGTTGCAGATGCATGGTACTTTAGTACCGAGGTACATTTTAGTACTAAATGCTTAACCTGATAAGTAACTAATCTTTTGTTTCATTTCCCTTCCCTTTCGTATATTAAAGTATAGTCATAAAAATGAGATATCATTTACTTGTTTAAAGATAAATATTTTTACATTGTTACATTCACCATTGGTCCAATGGTGGTGGTAGAATTCTTCACTTTATTACTAGTGTAGATATAATTTGGTAAAATTAATTTGCAGAGCACTTATCTAAGCTCATATTTAAACCTTTAAAATATCCCTTTGATCTAGAGGGTCAGGAAAAAGACAAAACTTGCAGACAAACCTAGATTTAAGGCATGCAGTAGAGAAGGGATGGTAATGGGTCCAAACTAGGGAGGAAAGAGCACAAGACACTAAAATGATGGTTCACGGACATTGTGGTGGTGGGAAAATTAGGGGTACTACACCTGAGGGGAGAGATCAAGTTTTGTACAAAAATGAACAATGATGTCGAAAATTTTTTTAATTAAAATTAAAAAGTAAACATAATGAAAAAAACTAAAAAAAAAAAAACCTTTTGACCCAATAAATCTAATTGTGAATCTCAAAATATAAACTCGAACAGAAGATTCTTATACAAGAATGATTATTACAAAGCTTTTTACAATGCTAAAAAATTTAAACTAATACACATATTTAATAAGATTCATTATAATAATTTCTGCCTCCTCACCACAGTCACTATCTCTGCCATTTTTACCATCTCCAGAATTTGCAGAACAGCTGAACAATTGAGATACATATATATATGTGTATATATATATATATATGTGTATATATATATATATATATATATATATATATATATAGGATATTATAGCAATTTATAAAGGTACTTACACTATTTATTCAGTATTAATTTTTAAAACAGTACCCAAAATCATAGATATTCATTAATACTTTAAAAAAATGACTATAGAGGGCCCTCCATGGTGGCATAACAGGTTGGGACCGCTTCAGTGCAAGTTCGGTCCCCTGCCCCACAGGTGACCTACATGGTACAGCAGACCTCTCCTGTCTCATCCACTGCTCCCCTCAGCAGTATATGTCATAGATCTGCCTGTTCTGCTGCCCACTCTTTGTCTGGTGAATCCTCTTGCAGTCCCTTCACCTCTGGTCTGTACCCCCGCTCTGAAAAAATCCTGAAAAGAAATGTTCACAAATGATCTATAAGGTGATTAAAAAGTGCCTTTCTTCATTATCAGTATTTAATGAGAAAATATTTCTTTCATATTCTACAGTAATATATTTCCTTTTTTTAAAAGCATATCTCCCAAAAATACAGATATCTGAAATTTCCTAAGTACCTCTCTACCTGAATTTTGGTAACAACACTAAGATTTATAACCAATTTGGCTTTATCCTATGACTCCTTTTTTGGGGGGGGAGGGAAGGGAGAAATAATGAAGATTATTTTAAATGATGGCTTTTCAGAAAAAAAGGACTAGAGGAAGTATTGTTCAGTAGATGAGTACTTTTCAGTGTTCTAATCACCATAACCAGATTTTAATGTCTTCCAATTTTCTATTGTAACTCTCTGAAGCTCTGTCAGTCTTATCCCACCCCCACTATTTAAGGAAGTGCCTCTTTATGGAAAACTTCAGTAGTGAAATCCTCAAACTTTAAATTAAAATACATTGGCTGAATATATATAGCAGGTATATACTATGACAGCTATTTAGGAAAACTATAAGGCAACCCTTAATATGACAGGATAGATATTTTAAAAAATATTTTCAGTTCTGTTTGCAATTTTAGCTTACTGATTAAATATGCATATATAAGGCACAAAGTGTTATCAAAAGATAGCATATTCTAAAGGCAATGGTACCTCTTTGAAAGATAATGTTAGAATGAAAATAATTCTTTTCTATTTTCAGTGACTTTTTGGCTGACCAAGCTGCATGTTATGTTCAGGCAATACAGTGGATTTTACACTATTATTATCATGGAGTTCAGTCCTGGAGCTGGTGAGAGAATGAAAAAGATTTTTCTTATAGTGATTTGTTCTATTAGATTCTTTTATGGGAATCTCTTTTCCCCTAATTTCTATTTGTGGTAATATATTTTTTTACAAGGTATAATACTGTTTAATTGACATTTAGGAAATCTTCTTATATTAGAATACTTGAAAATGACCTAAGTGAAGCAAAAGATCTAGCCAGCCCTAACCAAGAAACTCTTTGTTCACCTAAGGTTTTCAAATTTTCTGTTGTAATGAATCAACTATAACAAATTCCTCATAAGTTTTTTAATCTAAAAGTTATGGTTATAATGGGTATGTGGGGGTGTTCATTCTTCTTTTCTTTTATTCTTTTCTTTTATATGTATTTGAGAGAAACCATCAGGAATAATTATAGAAAAATAAGTTATTTGAATGTTAGAGGGAGAAATATTTCTTGGAAAAATAATGATTCTTTATTTCTCCCATGTTTTCTATTCCAGAAAATTCCATTATAATAAAAAAATAACAAACTGAAAAAAAAATGATGGGAGAATAGAATTTTATGTAATTTTATCATTTGTTTTGTTTTCAGCACACCTCTGTTAGGTTTTGTTTTAAAGTACCATACAGTAAAATGAAACATTTCAAACTAATGTGGCATTACTAATGACTTCATTTAATAGTAGCTTTTAAAAATACCTTTACACTAACTAACCTGATTCTCAGACCTCTCTGAAAAACATTCTAATGCAGAAAATCCTTGCATTAAGAGGATTTTTTTAAGAGGGCGTTATTCCTCTTGTATTAGCAAGCATGAACACCAGGCCTGTGAGAAGCATGTTTTCATATAACCATCACATCTATTTAAATATTATTCTATGTGTTTACAGAGCTTAGAAACTGAAGCTCAGAGAGCTTAATAATTTTTTTTACAAGGTATAATACTGTTTAATTGATATTTAGGAAATCTTCTTATATTATCCAACCAAGAATATTGTCCAACCCTACCTATTCCAGAGTCTGTTTTCCATTTATTCCATATGCCATTCAGTCTCATAAACTTACCCATCTTTTTGAAATATGCCATAATATATAATACTAAAATGCTTTCATTTTGGGAGGTATCCTTATACAAACATTAAGAACATTGAAACTTTGCAAAATGTTATCTTTGAACTTTTTAAAAAAAGGGAGGAAGACACCTTATACAAAAACAGCACTAAGTACTGTATATAATTGATAAATGGCTTAATCCATATTACAAACACAGTATATACCAATTCAGCTAAAAGTTCTTAGAACTAAGTAACAATCACTTGAGCTCATTTTCACTGTTTCCCTGTCTTCCTCAGAGAGACTGATTCCTGAGCAACTTAACTGAAAGTTCTGACCACCTCATTACTTCATTCTAATAATCTATTCATTGAAAGATTCATACTTCACATTTTGAGTACTAAAAGAACCATTATATTTCATATGTATATCCTTCAATTATATGATAACTGCAGTATTGAAACTGTGAAACTGTACCTTAAGGAAATACAGTATTTGTTGTTGACATATAACCTCAATATTCTAACACAAGTGAGTTAGAATAAAGGTGATAGTTTGTTGTTGTTTTTTTCCCGTTAAAGTTATTGATATGTGTTGTTAAAACAAAATAGAAAAAAGTTTATGCTTTACATTGGCCTATTTCTTAAAGTTGCCAACTATTTAAAACCCAGTCTTGTCTTGTAGGTTTTATCCCTATCATTATGCACCGTTCTTATCAGATATCCGCAACATCAGTACACTCAAACTCCATTTTGAACTAGGAAAACCTTTTAAGCCATTTGAACAACTTCTTGCTGTCCTTCCAGCAGCCAGCAAAAGTTTACTTCCTACATGCTACCAGGTGGGTTTCAGAACTGAATAATTTTATGTCCTTTTTGATATAAGCCAAATTTATTTATTTTTAATTTCAAATGAAGTATTTTAAGTAAGACCCTCCCTTTAAAAGTAATTGCTTGAATTAAAGTTAGCTTTGCTTTAAACATATAAACATTCCATGAACCATTCAGTACATAGTTTTTTCATTTTCAGTATCTTTATTTATTTATTTATTTTAAAATTTTATTTATTTATGCATATAAGGGCTTGCGGTATAGACCAGAGGTAAGGGGGGAGAAGTAAGAGGCGTCACCAGAGACAGAGTGGGGAGTAGAACAGGCATATCTGCTGAAATTCACTGCTGAGGGGAGCAATGGCCAAGACAGGAGAGGTCTGCTGTACCTTGTGGGTCAGCTCCCTAATGGGTGATAGAACTCATGCCATGGCTGTGGAGAGCTTCATGGTGCTGAGACTTAACCCTTTGCGCCTCCAGGGAAGGTTCATTTTTAGTACATTTAATTAAATCTTTAATATGTCTTTATCCTGGTGAAAGTAAACTGCCAACAGGCAGAAACATAAGTAAAATATTTGTCCAGACACTCGTAGATTCATTCCTGTTCTTTTTTATTTTCTACCTGATACAATAGGGTGAGTATAATGAATCATCTTTACAGAAGTGTTACCTCATTTTATACTTGAGTTTTAAGTATTTTATTTATCAAATTGTGGCCTTTCTTTAGTTTACATATTTCACATAACAGAAGGAAATTATTGCAGGATTTATTGAGTACCAAAAATGTAGTAAGCCACACTCATTAAATATTTTGAGTATCACCTGAGGAATATGCTGTTTTATTTCTTTGGAAAGTTTTATATCATAATTTTCCATACTTGTTTCCTTGAAGACATCCTTACCCTTTCTTTATCTGCCTTTGTTATAAAATCTCTTGTAAAATGATGTATTAATTGGATTTTTTCTTTACTATTAATAGTGAAGAGATTATTAGATTTTAAGATTTTTCTTTTTAAATTAGATAACACTTCTTATATAGTAGAATCATTTAATTACATTAAGATAAGTTGTTTAAAGTTTAAAATGGAGGAATATTGGATACTTGTTAAATGAGTTGAAATTTTTTATGGGAAAACAGAATTTTATAAACCTCGTAGAGTAAAGCGACAATAATAGGTAGACATGACAAATTCAGGCTAAAGATGTTTCAACCACAAGTCGGTGGAATGGGAAAATGATTATACCAGAGAAATTAGAATTCTCATAGTTGAAAATCAAAATATGCAAGCAATATCAGAGCTCATCTAAGATGTAAATATTTAGTTTTGCTTTGTTTAGAAATTTTAATCTGTAGCATGTAGAATATTGTAAATTTATTAACAAAATATTATATATTGATATATAACATTAATATATAGATATTAATTCTTATATTTCAATTGCTCTTACAGCATTTGATGACCAGTGAAGACTCACCAATTATAGAATACTATCCACCGGATTTTAAAACTGACCTAAATGGAAAACAACAGGAATGGGAAGCTGTGGTATTAATACCTTTTATTGATGAGGTCAGTGCATGAAGCAGTTATATAACACATATATTCTTAATCAGAGATAATTTCACATAAATTACTGAGCATTAGCTTTTAATCACCATTTATGTTTTGCTAGTGAATTTAAACTACTCTCTTCTTCATTATACACATCTTCTAATTGGAATGGCTTTAGTAATATTAGATAAGTTAGACTAAGCAAAGACTTACTGGAGATCAAGAGAAATTTTTCATAATGATGAAAACATTAAGTTAGTAGATGAAGAAAAATAAAAATCTTGAGTGTGTATGTAGGTAATAACTGGGCTTCAAGTATAAAACAGAAACTATCAGAGGATAGGAGAGATAGCAAAGTCCACAGTTATACTTGGAAATTTCACCACTTCTCTCTTAGGAATTGGTAGAACAAGAGAGAAAATCAGTGAAGAGAAAGACTCAAATAATACTCTAACTCTATTCATCTTCATTAATATTTATAGGACATATTCTCAATAAGTGCAGAATACAAATTCTTAGTCAAAATTTATCAAATTATGAATTTTTAGCCTATTTTCAATGTAAATTATGCATCAATAAAATAAAAATGCCCACTCTTTAAAATAAATTCTGTAATGGAGGGAAAAAACTTATTCATTCCTTACAGTTTTTCTATTTATTTATTTATGTTAAAGATTTATATTTTTTAAATGTATACAAAAACTTAGGTGTAGACCAGAGGTGCAGGAGTGTGAAAGAATTCACCAGAGACAGAGTGGGAGCAGAACAGGCAGAGCTACTAAAATATACTGGTGAGGGGAGCTAAAGGTGAAACAGGAGAAGTCTGCTGTATCTTGCAGGTCAGCTCCCTAGCTGGGGATTGAACTCATGTTGCAGTGGCTGGCAATAACTTGATAGTGCTAAGACATAACCCCTTATACCACCAAGAAGGTCCCATATCTTACAGTTTTTAAAACAGGTTGTTTATTATATGTGAAAAGATGCTTGCCAGACAACAGATAAAGAATCAAGTTGTGATACTGTCATTGTGTGCAAATTTAGTTGCATGTAGACAGTTAAAACTGTCACATTATCATTATTACTTTAGTTCATGATTGAAATTTAATTTAAATGTGAACACCTTAATGAGATTTTGAATGTTTAAACAACATTGCCTTATGATATGCCACTGAAGCAAAACTTGTATGTAACTAGTTACCACCATATTTTTAATATTTTTGGAAACAAAAGCTCAGAACTTACTCAGGAAGGTTTCTCAAAGAAAGATATGGAAAAAAAAAAGTTACTATTATAAGATTTTCAGTGAAAGTCATCATAGGAGATAATGAAAATTTACCAAATTGAATACATGATGGAGTCTGCAGAACTGAGAAATTAATAGGAACCATTTGTACCCCTCACAGGAGTATTACACAAACTGGTGCTAGGAATAGGAAGAGTTCACCTGTAGGCTTCAGCTACTTGGTAGTTCTCTGTCTCAAACACACCCTTATATATACATTTTCATTTGGAGAATATAAGCATAACCATATGACATATAACCTTTAGAGAGCCTTGATTAGAGCTTGAATTTGTTTTGTGGGAATGGCTCTCTAGTCTGCGTTTTCCTAGACTTTTTGACTTCCTTTTCTGGGATCTTGATGCTAATAACCTCCAAGATGTTAGATAAAGCAAAAAGACAGGTTGGGCTACTCTACTATGTCAGCAAAGGTGTTGGCTAACCTTCCAGTCACTCTGAACCTGGATTAACCCACAAAATTGCTATCAAGAGTCTGAGACTCTACACTCCTCTTTTTTCCAGTTTCAGAGGCATGTTTTAATTGAACAGATGTATGACCTTTCACTTGAGGATATTTCCCAGAGAGGGTCTTAACAGCTGAGGGTTATAAACCAGGAGCACTTTCAGCATCTGGGTAATAATTTAAATGTGAACTAAATGATTAACTAAATGTTGAAGCATATATTCTTCAGTACTATTTGGTAGCACATCATATCCATTGTATCACTGTACCTCTTTCTATCATTCTTTCTATAAATGCTTTGAAAGTAGCACATACAATTATATTTAAAAATCTAAGAGGGGAACTCTGGAAACCAGTTTGTTCCTTATAAAATTTAACATAAATTTATCACACAACCCAGTAAATAGCCTTTTGAGTATAGTAACTTAGATGAATGAAAGCTTACACATATACATTAATGTTTAGAGCAACTTATATATAATAATTGCAAACTGGAAAAATTCAGATGGCTTTCAGTATTATTGGATAAACTGCAGTTTATCCATATAAGTTGAATACTACATAAATATTTAAAAAACAACTGATATAAACAACCTGGATTGTTTAACTGTTTAAAAAACAGTTCACTTAAGTTTGAGTCTCTCAAAAAGTTATATATTGTTCAAATGACAAGATACATTTTCTTCAAATGACGAAACTGTGTGATATTATAAACATCAGTGGTTTCCAGGAATTAGTTAAGATTGGGGATAGAATATATAAATATAAAGAAAAGGGATTTCACTATGATATAACAGTTCTGTATATTTTTATGGTGATGACATTAATCTGTACATATGATAAAATTCCACAGCACTGTACACACACCCAAAATCACATATAAAAACTATTGAAATGTGTATGGTTTATTCTGTAGCTTAGATGATAATGTACCAATCTCCATTTCTTGATTTTGATAATGTGGCATTGTGTTGAAAGCTGCATGGGAATTTTCTGTGCTAGCTGCAAATTCTGTTGAATATTAAAAGTTATTTTGTAAAAAGATTGTCATCACCTGTCCAACATAATGTCTTATCATTGGCAATATTACTTAAAGGGCAATGCAGTCCAAGGAAAATAATGAGAAAATACCTTCAGTCAGCAAATATTGATTATTTTCTCTGTGTTAGGCTAAAGTCTGGATACATATGCAACATTCACATGTAATTTAACCTTAAAAATACAAATAAATTTATGTACTCTGTTTTCCTTAGAATCTTACAGTTTTTATTATGAAATTAAGTAATTGGTTTTTTTTTTCCTGTAACACAAGTAGTAATTTTTATATGTAAGTGTAAATTTGTTCTTTATTGTGTATTTGTGCATTTGAGATTATTTCATATTTGCTCTTAGGGATCTGCTTATCTGTTTTGCTTTGCTTAATTATTACCTTTTATTTGAAATAATATTAATAGCCACTGAATATCCTACCATGATCAGAGAAACATAAGTAACTAGTATCCAAACAGAGTTTTCTGATTTATTTCTTTTGAAGGGGATCCATAGATACTATTTTACAATTTTTTTCTCACCTGTTAGAAATGTTATAGATATTATTCCAAGTCATTAGAAGTCTGACCTGTCTTCAATAATATCATGTCATGGTCATATATTATTCCCTGATACCATACTGCTTTATTCAAGCTACTTTATGGTTTTACCACTATACATAGTGCTATGCTAAAATTCATGTATTCTTCTTGATTGTCGGTACTTTTTTGTATAATGGAGATTGTATTTTTATAACACAGATTTTCCAAACCAGGATTGCATGGTCAATAGGAATGTGTATTTCTTAGTTATAATAAATATTACCAGATCCTTTTTCAAGAAGCTTGGTCTAATCACACCAGCAATTGAGTGCCTACTTCTCTGCATCTCCAGTCATGGCTATTATTGTTCATTTTAATGTTGGCCTTGATGAAAATTGCCATTTCATTATTACTGAAAATTTGTTTTTCTTTGACACCAAATTTGAGTATATTTTATGTATGTGCTTGCTATTGCAGCTTCCCTTTTGTAAATTCCATATTTATATCCTCTCCCTCATTTTCATCCTTTTTTGGTTTTTATTTTTTAATTTTTAGCAACTTTCTGGGATATCCTTTCCCATTTGTCTCTCAATCTGTTTATGAAATCTTGTCACATGTTCTTTTTTTCAAATATGTCTTTTCCCATATAAGCCTTATTATATGTTTTTCCTGTCTTGCTAACTTTGGAGTTCATCTCTCCAAAATATCTAGATTTTCTTTGCATATTTTTATCATATTGTTTGATGGTTTTTTAAAAAATATTGTATAAAATTGGCAGTTTATGTTCTTTCTTCCCTAGCTGGGTAGCTAGTTCTGACAGTGTCATTACTGAAAATCTGTTTGTGATATTAATTTGAATTTGTTGAGTCACTTCAGTGTCAATACTGAAGTGTTTTGATTATAGTAGCTTTATTAAGAAGTGATAGGATCTGGTAAAACAGCCCCCAGTTTACATATTTATTCTTCCATATGGAGTAACAGCAGAGTGTTCCTTTTTAATTTTATTTTTAATTTTTTTCCTTCTATTTTTTAATTTTCAAAATGTCCTTTTTTAAAAAAATATTTTAAACCATTGAGAATCTGAGTAGAATTATGATAAGTATATGTTCATTTGTAAGTTCTACATCAGTGCAGATTTTATAGAGATTAATGCTCCATAAATTATGATAAATTATAATAATTATGATAAATTCACATTTATAATTTGATTCTCTCCTTTTCTTTTGTATACTTAAGTGGCTACTGATTTAGAGAAATTTGCAGTGGCAAGCTATCTTTTAGAGATCTTTGAAACAATGAATAGCACATCAATTCTTCATGTAATAAGATGTGAAAGAGTTTCATTGGTTATGATTTTTCTTTTTTAAAGATTTATTTATTTATGCATACAGAACTGAGGTACAGGCCAGAGGTGCAGGGGCTGTGAGAGGATTCACTAGACAGAGTGAGAAGAAGAACAGGCAGATTGACTGAAATACACTGTTGAGGGGGACAGCAAGGAAACAGGAGAGGTCTGCTGCGCCGTGTGGGTCACCTCCCTGGCTGGGCATCAAACTCATGTTGAAGCAGCTGTGGCTAGCTTGGTAGTGCTGCACTATAACCTGTTGCACTACCAGGGAGGGCCTATGGTTTTTTCTCTTTCAATAAGCAAATTATGATTCTTTATGGGGAAGATTTGTTCTGTATGTTGAGATTACAGAATTTTTATGCTTTTTAACATCATTTTTTCGTTTGTATTTAGAAGCGATTATTGGAAGCTATGGAAGCATGTAACCACTCCCTCAAAAAAGAGGAGAAGAAAAGAAACCAACATAGTGAGTGCCTAATGTGTTGGTATGATAGAGACACAGCATTTACCTACCCCTCTCCATGGCCAGAAAAGTTCCCTGCCATAGAACATTGTTGCACAAGGTAATGTTATTTAGTGACTTTTGAACAACAAAGAGCACCCCTACCACCACCAATAATAATAATTTTTTTTCATTGTCTTTTTGGAGAATTAAATTATTTATGACAGTTGTAATCAATAATTCTAGAATTTACATTCAATTTGGCAAGAGTCATAGTATATCTCTTAAAATTGTTTCTCTAATTCTCTGCTTTGTGAAATTATGCTTCAATTTTGTTAGTGTTGTTTTTAGAGTTTTAATCTCTCTCAAGAGGATATGTAAATTGTTTTTGTTGCTAATGATTGCTCCAAGGGTTTTTTGACATATTCTTACTTTATCTTATATACTCAACTACCTAGCTAGAAAGAAGAAATTAAGAAATAGAAGAGTTTCCCTATTTTCTTGGTTCAAAACATTTCTTTTTCCTCTTCCTTATTAAAATGTTTCCTTGTTTTTTCTCTTCCCTTACCTTCTGTCCAAATAACTTATCCAGATAGCAGTTGAATTGCAGATGGAAAGATTATTTCTCAGTTATGATTTTCCCTTTTTTTAAATAAAGAGAAACATGAAGTAGACATTGTAAAATGTTTGTTTTCCATTCTGGGTTAGAACATGGAGAACATGGAGATTTGTAATAAGCATTATACCTCCCTTTATTATAAAATTAAATTATATATAATTTTTGTTTTAAATTAATGAGGAAAACATTTACTCAATAACCTACAGGCATGATTGTGAACAGAATAACAGAGAATCTTAGTAGTCTTGCTGTTTATTTTCTTAGTTTAATGATTATATTATCATCCTCTTGTTAAAAACAATGACCACTCTTGCAGAAATATTCAAGGGGGTGTTGAAAAAATATGATTGCTTGCTATGAATTTTAAATTAAATGTCTTGATTTATTTTGTAGGTATAAAATAATATCGTTAGATGCTTGGCGTGTAGATATAAGCAAGAACAAAATAACCAGGGTTGACCAGAAAGCATTATATTTCTGTGGATTTCCTACTCTGAAACACATCAGACACAAAGTCAGTGGCTATTTATTTGAGAATTTTTTCACTTTATTGAATGTGAAGTGATTATGGACAAAGAGTTAAATAAAATTTTCTGAATTCATTTAAAGTTTTTTTTGAAGAAAAGTGGGGTTCAAGTATTCCAGCAAAGCAGTCGTGGAGAAAACATGATGTTGGAAATCTTAGTGAATATAGATTCAGATGAACTTGTAAGTATTTTATTTACTATGCATTTATTATGTGTGTATTAGCTATAAAGTTATTGTAGCTGCCAGTGTACTCACCAAAGAGACATAATTATTCATTAACTCTAAAAATTTATAGTAAATAAGAATAAAATAAAGAACATTTATGCAAATTAAAGTGCATGTGTAATTGTGACATAATCAGAAATAAAAATGAAAAGTAGATGAGTTATGTAAGCTAAAGATTAAAGCACAAACCTCTGCATGAGCATAGGATAGAGCTGTTGCTAAAAAAGAAGTTAGGACAAAGAGAAAAGGAAGGGAAAGTCATACTAATTTAAAGAAATAATGTGATTTAGGAATAGTATTAAAAATTATATGAATAAATTTTTCTTTTTTTAGAATGAATGTGATGTATTTAAGGAGAAGGATTAGATAAACCTGACTGGAGCCGAGGACTTGTGTTGGTAAATAGTGGAAGATAAGGTTGAAAAAACAGATTGAGGCCAGATTATAGAGGACCTTGAATGCCAGACAAACTCAGAAGTTTGGGGTTTTTTTCATAACTTTTATCTTGAATTGGATATTTTCATAAAGAAAATTTGGTGACAATATTATTTAAGTGTACAAAAGAGAAATGGAAGAAAATAAAAAAGCAGGCCACTTTAGAGGGTGTGGTTAAAGAAGCATTAGACAGTAAAGATGTAACCTTTACTGTGGAAGTGGTACTAGAGCTAGTGACTAAGACTCAGTTTGACAAGTTTCATCATTTGTTCAAATATAGGGGATGAAAAGAGGAAGCAGACATTAGAAATAACTAAGGTATCCAGGCTCATTAACTAGAAAATAATTACTGTGGACCGGAATAGAGAATTTAAAATGGAAAAGTTGCTCATTTAAGGGAATTAATGACAAATGATGGTATTTTAACGTATTACTAAGACTTTTAATAGGAGCTGGTCTGCTACCTTTCTCAACAAAGATTCCCCAAGATATTTAAACCCTTACTCCCTAAGACATCCATTTTTATATGACTTTTCTTCTAAGCTTATAAAAATGTGCTAATTATGTACTATCTTTGGGAGAATTGAAAATACTTAAGTTGTTTTTTGTATTCAATGAGAAAGACCTTTGTATACAATTTAATGCCTGTAACTAGAGCTAGGAGGGAAAAAGATATAGATATATAGATATATGTAATCAGCAAAGATGTAATGACTGTGATACATTGGGGCTCATTTTCTGAATAAAAAGTAGATTATAGAAGCATGGAATAGGTACCAGGTGCTGCATATAGTTAAAAAACTAAAGTACCAGATTTGTGGTTTTTATACTTTTAAGCATTTTTTGTTGGCCTTTCAGAAGTCACTCCAATATGTTGGTAGAGACAGAAATCTAGTCTTAAGGATTGAACTGAGACTTAGATAGATGGAAAATAGAGTATTTGAAAAGAAGGCTAGCAACATAACGGTAGGTGGAAAAGAGGAAACTCACCAAGCAAAATCCATCTAAAAGATGGGAGATGCAGTTAGTAGATATAGAGACCTTAGAGTCACCTAGAGGAAAGGGATATTTCTGATGACAAAACCTATGTGAGGTAATAAAGGATTTCATCTAGGGCTTAAGTAAAAAAAGATTAAAGGGAAAACTAGGAGAATGAAATTATTAAAAGGATAAATAAGGGGATCAAGTTGTGAAGTTGAATCCTATTTTATTTATCATAATAATTATTCTGTTTTATATGTTTAAGTTAAGAAATACCTATGTATAAGTAAAATTAAAAAAATTATCTTCAAAAAGCCTAAAAATAGTCACACATAATTGTTCAAGAAATGTTTGTTCATAACGATTAAGCATAATAAAAAAATTAAAATAAATTTGTATTTAAATTTAAATGAAGTTGTCTAACCAACCACTAGTAATAATGAAGATATAATAATAATTTCTTTTTAAAGCTAGAGTTTTTGCTAAGTTTTTTTTAAAGATTTAATTATTATACATACAAGAACTGGGGTGCAGGCCAGAGGTACAGGGAGTAAAAGGATTCACCAGAGATAGTGGGGAGCAGAAGAGGCAGATCAACTGAAGTGTACTGCTGAGGGGAGCAGTGGCCAAGACAGGAGAGGTTGACACCATGTGGGTCAGCTCCCTAGCTGGGGATTGAACTCAAGCTGCAGTGGCTGTAGATAGCTTCATAGCGCTACACTTTAACCCTTTGTGCCACCAGGGAGTGCCCTGCTTAAGATATTTTATACAGTACATTTATTCAGTTTTAGGTAGCTTATAAAAGCTTTTGTGTATGTTATTTATCCTCAAGTAATCATTGTTTATATATTTGTCTTTCTTACGTAAGAAAACTGAGACTAGTGGGGTTAAATGATTTGTCTAAGTTTCCATGATTAAAGAGGTAGATAGCAAATTTGGACCCATGCATGATTCCTAACTTTTAGTTTAGTGTTCACTTTACTAACCACAAAATGAAATGAGATTTCTTAGATTCTGCTTTATACTCACTGATAGGAAACAATGATATGACCATTTAATATTTGACCCTTTTCTAGACATTTCTGCTAATTTTAATTTTCTCAGTTTCCCTGAAAAACATAAGCAAGATATGAAAATGTTAGAACATAGAATTTTACATCTGGTTGGAATTTTGTAAAACAACTTATCTTTCATTAATTTTACAAAGTAAAAATTTTAAATGGAGATTGAAAAAGGGACATACTCATTCACTCAATTAGCAGCAGAACTAACCTAGGCTAACCTAGGATAGTAGCAGTATTTCATAATATGGATAGAAATCAGTTTTATTGTTTCATTTTACTGAAACTTTTCTCAGCATGTCATTTCATTGAGGATTAAAAATCAATAGTTGGGCCCTCCCTAGTGGAGAAACGGGATAGGACGCAGCACTGCAAGCCAGCTGTAGCACTGCAAGCTAGCCACAGCCACTTCAATGCGAGTTTGATCATTCAGTCCCTGAGGTCCCTGAGGTGATCCACGTGGCGTGGCAGACCCCTCCTGACACATTCGCTGCTCCTCTCAGTAGTGTACTTCATCAGTCTACCTGTTCTGTTCCCCACTCTGTCTCTGGTGATGTCTCTCACCGCCCCTGTATCTCTAGCTTGTATCCCAGGTCTGTATGAATAAATAAATCTTAAAAAAATAAAATCAGTAGTCATTCTTTACTTAAAACTGTTAAGGTTTTAAGAAAGAAGAAGGCAAGCTTCCTTGCGTCGTATTTCATATTTCTAGTAAAAAAATTGGCAGAGGGAAAGGTAACCTTGGCAAACTTTCACACACTGACATTAAAGGGTGAAGAAAAGCAACTGGAAATTAAAAAGAAAAAAAACAACAGAAATCCTAGAAAGTATTCTGAAGAGGTAAACATACAATTGAGAAATGACAAATTAAGAAAACTAACTTTAACTCCAATTAAGAATAAATTGGAGTAAAGTTGAGAAGAGTAGGTACTGTAGTGAATAAATGACTTAGTAAGCAAATGATATGTATCGATTTCAACTAAGGTGGGGATTTTAGAGATGTTAAACACAAACAGACTTGTAAATTAACCTTGCTTCTGTAAAATTTCCTCATGAACCTGAAATACGGATGAACTTTTCTGTTTTTATTTTAAGAGTATTGAAAATGTGGCTTCATCAGTGCTTGGAAAATCTGTCTTTGTTAACTGGCCTCATCTTGAAGAAGCTAGAGTCGTTGGAGTATCAGATGGAGAAACTAAGTAAGATTTAACTTATAGTATGATTAACTTATATTTGCTTTGCTATTTCTTTTTATTGATGCTTTTTAAAATTGATTATAATTGTAAAAATGTTTGCACCCTATAGTGAAGAGCAAAATCCTCCATACACACCACTTAAAGGTAAACCACTATTATATATTATAACAATCCTTTTGAATTAGTGTTTTTGAGTCCTTTGGGTAGATTCCTAGGAGTGGAATTGTTGGATCATATGGAAGTTCCATTTTTAGTAACTTGAGGAACCTCCACACAGCTCTGCATAGTGGTTGAATCAGACTGCATTCCCACCAGCAGTGTAGGAGAGTTCCTTTTGCTCCACATCCTCACCAACATTTGTTGTTGCTAGTTTTGTAATATGTGCCATTCTCACTGGTATAAGGTGGTATCTCGTTGTGGTTTTTATTTGCATTTCCCTGAATATAAGAGATGTTGAACATTTTTTATATGCCTGTTTGTCACTTGCATTTCTTCTTTGGCAAAGTATCTTTTTAGCTCTTCTGCCCATTTTTTGACCAGGTTGTTTACTTTGTTTTTGTTGAGCTTCATTAGCTCTCTGTAGATTTTTGTGATCAGTCCCTTGTCATTAGTATTGTATGAAAAATTTTCTGCCAATCACTGGGGTATCTCTTTGTTTTGGCTAATGTCTCTGCTGTACTGAAGCTCTTTATTTTGATTTCATCCCAACTCTTTATCTTTTCCTTCATTTTCTTTGCTTTAGGTGATGTGTCTTTAAAGATATTACTGTCTTATATGTCATGTACTGTTTTGCTTGTATTTTCTTCTGTATGTTTTATGGTTTCAGGTCTTATGTCTAATTCTTTAATCCATTTTGAGTTGGTTTTGTGCATGATGTGAGGCAGTAGCCTAGCTTCATTCTTTTGAGTGTACTGGTTCAGTTTGCCAGCACCATTTATTGAATAAACTTTCATTATTCCATTACATATTGTTTGCTCCTTTATCAAGATTAGTTGTTCATATGTTTGTGGGTTAATATCTGGGCTTTCCAATCAATTCCATTGGTCTGTGTGTGTGTTTTTGTTCCAGAACCATACAGTTTTAATTATTGTGGCTTTGATATCTCCATTTCACTTCTTTTTAGTCAGGAGAGCTTGGCTATTCAAGGTTTCCTGTAGCTCCATATGAACTTCATCAATATATGTTCTATTTCTTTGAAGAATGTCATTGAAATTTTTATTGGAATAGCATTGAATCTGTCAATTTCTTTTGGTACGATGGCCATTTTGATAATGTTAATTCTTCCTTTCCATGAGCAGAGCATGTCTATTTCTTTGTGTCTTCTTCTATTAGCAATGTTTTATAATTTTCTTTGTAGAAGTCCTTTACCACTTTTGTAAGGTTTCTACCAAGTACCTGATTTTTTTTTGTTTCAATTATTAAATTATTAAAGGTGTGGTTTTCTTGATTCTTCTTCACATTGATTGTTTGCATATAGGAATACTACTGATTTTTTTGTGTTGATATTTTCCCTGCTTCTTTACTAAATTGGTTGATTATTTTGATTTATTGTTCTGTGGAGTTTTTGGGTTCTCTATGTGCATTATTATATCATCTACAAATAGTGATAGTTTTACTTCTTCCCCAATTGGATTCCTTATATGTCTTCCTCCTGTCTTATTGCTCTGGCAAGAATTTCCAGGATTATGTTGAAAAGCAGTGGTGAGAGTAGACTTCCTTATCTTATTCCAGGGTATAGGTCCTTTTCTTAATGCCAGTGCTATATTCTCATACACTCTAATTATGTCTGAGTCTTAACACAAATACAGTGATTCTTTCTACCCTGTTTTTTTTTTCCCTAAAATTGTTTTAGCTATGTTTGATGATTTCCCTTAATATTTTAGAATAAATTTTTCTTTAAATCTGCAGATTAAATCAAGAATATCTGAAGACTTTGCCATATTGAATCTTTTTTTTTCTAAGATTTATTTATTTTTGCATATAGAACTGGGGTATAGACCAGAGGTGCAGGGGTGGTGAGAGGATTCACCAGAGACAGAACAGGCAGCAGGACAGGCAGATCATGAAGTATACACTGCTAAGGGGAGCAGCAGGCGGTCAGGAGAGGTCTGCCTCGCCATGTGGATCTCCTCCGGGGCAGGCGGGAATCGAACTCATGCGGAAATGGCTTAAGCTTCTTAATGCAGTGCTTTAACCCTCTGCGCCACCAGGGAGGACCGCCATGTTGAATCTTTAATTTCTTTCGTCAGCATTTTATTTTTTCAACATACAGGTCTTATGCATATTTTGTTAGAATTTTTTTTAAAGATTTGTTTTATATTTTTATGCATACAAAAACTGGGAGTCTAGACCAGTGGTTCAGGGGTTGAGAGGATTCACCAGAGAGAGAGTGGGGAGCAGAGCAGGAGAATCTACTGAAGTACACTGCTGAAGGGAGCAGTGTGTAAGATGGGAGAAGTGTGTGGTGCCATGAGGGTTAGCTCCCTGGTGGGGATCAAGCTCATGCCACAGTGGTTAGTGGTAACTGATGGCACTAGACTTAAACCCTATACCACCAGTGAGGCCCCATGTTCTGTTAGATTTATGCCTAAGTATTTACATTTTGGAGGAGTAACTATAGTAACTGATAATTACTAGCTATAGTCAGTAACTATATTCAGTTAAAACTATTGTTTTAAATTTCAACTTCCCCAGCTTGTAAATACTTTTGTACATTTTTTTCCCGTGTGTTGATTTTATATCCTAAGATCATGCTGAATGTCAGCCTTTTTTCTTGGAACCTAGTCCACACATTTTGTAGAAGTCTAAATTTGCTTAATTGTTTCCTTTTCATGTCTTTTAACTTGGTACTCTATCCCACAGATTTCCTATAAAATGAAACTGCTATATGTAGTGACTTGATTAGAATCAAGTGTGGCAGGAATGCTTTTTTTTTTTTAAGATTTATTTATTTATGCATACAGAACTGGGGTACAGGCCAGAAGTGTGGGGGGTGAGAGGATTCACCATAGACAGAGTGGGGAGCAGAACAGGCAGATGTACTAAAATACACTGCTGAGGGGAGTAGCAGGCAGGTCAGGAAAGGTCTGCCACACCATGTGGGTTACCTCCCTGGCTGGGGAGCAAACTCATGGTGCAGTGACTGCGGATAGCTTCATAGTGCTGTGTTTTAACCTGTTGCACCACCAGGGAGGGCCCCAAGAATGCTTTTCATTTTTAAATTTTGATGAGACTGTTTAAAGTCCTTGTTCTAAAATTTATATCTTGTTTTTTGGGAAGTAGCATTTATTTACTGATTTATTTTTTGCTATTGCTATATGTAGAAACCTTTTCACTGTGAAGTCTCATACTGCTATAATTCCACATTGGCTCTCAAATTGGCGATAATATAATTTCTATTTTAAATTTTAAGGTTTTACTTGGAAGAACCTCCAGGAACACAGAAGCTTTATTTGGGAAGAGCTGCCCCACCATCCAAAGTGGTCCACCTTGGAGATAAGGAACAAACAAGCTGGACAAAAGAAGTGCAAGGAATCTCAGAACAGTGAGTGTCATTAAAAAGTAAAATCATAGAGCTCGAATCTAATGTAATGTCCTTGTCCTTATCCTCTCTGATTTTTTTCCATTTAGCATAGTAGACACCCTGAATACTGACTAAATCCTCATTTTATATTCTAAAGAAACTAATGAGTTGTAGTTTAAAATAATATCTGGTTAGCAACAGTGCCTTATTTGTCACTAGAATACATCATGAAGTTTGGGGGAGATCTCAAAACCATGTACCTCAAAATCACTTAATACTAGGGCTAACACATAAATAAATTTTAAGATGGATGGCATGGATTCTTTATGAAGGATAGTGCCTCTACTTTATCAGCATAAAATGCAGCTATTGCTTAACTTACGAATTTGTTATGGGACTGATAAGATCTCGTTTAATGTCTTCTGTTTCTTTGCAAAGTAGATACTGAGTTTAGCTATTGAAGATAGTGGAGGGAAAGGGATTTTTGTCTCCAGTTTGAGTTAAGTGGAGGAGGTTTGAAAATAGTTCTTGAGGAATATAGAAGAGTATCAATTGAACAGAAAAACATGATAGAATTATATGCAGTATTAAAGCCCTCTTTAAAGTTAAGGGTCATTAATTTTTAGCATTCTACCCTGTCTTTTGGTACTAGAGTTCAGTTGATCAATCATAGTCCTAGAAAAAAAAGCTGAATTTAAGCAACACTGGATCCTGCCAGTTAAGTATAATGAAAAGATAAAAAGACAAGGTAATTTGGAATGGTGACAAAGGTGTCACTGAAATTGTGGATAGTGGATGAGAAAGACAAGTGAAAAAAGTAGAAGACTAATAGTTCGGGAGAAGGTAGATGAGTCAGTGAACTGGAGCTCTCAATAAAGTTAAATTAGGGCGAGGAACAAAATGGTTGAATAAGCAGGTTGAATAGAGAAATTTTTAGGTAATGAGATATTTAACTTAGTGATTTAGAGGTAGAGATATAATGGATGATGTTAAAATACAAGTGATAGCCATGGGAATAGATGACTAAGGTGAATGGAGAAGGCTATCAAATATAAGAAAGTTGTGAAACTGGGGTACTTGTCCTTAGGTAGATCATATAGGCTTACATTGTCATCATTTGGTTAATGGTAGATGTAAGGGTAAAATGTAAGAATGGGTAGTTTTCTACCAGGGATTTGGACATCACAGATCACAGTGGATATACACTCAGCCCTAAAATTCGTGGTATGAACACAAAAGCTATTGCTTATGTGGGCTGCATAAAAGTAGTGGTGCTTTCAGTTATAGAGATAATACTGGAGTGAAAAGGTTTGGGAATTAAAGGATAGGAAAGAAAAATTCAAAGGATTACTTTAGAGATATCTTGGGGAAGATGATAAACTTAGAGGATAATGTGGAGGAGATCTCAAAACCATGTACCTCAAACAAGGGAGCAATGAATTGGCATAAAATACTGTTTTCAATAGTGAAAAACACTGAAACTGTTTAATATGTAAGTTCTAACTCATTTTACCAAGAAAAAGTTAAAAGATATTCGTTTGTAACTTAGAAAATCAGAGATAATTATTTTTTATTTAGTTCAAAAGTAGCCCTTAATAGAATTAATAACCAAAAAAAAATTTTAAGATGTATTTACTTATGCATACAGAACTGGGTTACAAGCCAGAGGTGCAGGGGTGGTGAGAGGATTCATCAGAGACAGAGTGGGGAGCAGAACAGGCAGATTGACGAAGTACACTGCTGAGAGGAGCAGGGGGCGGGTCAGAAAGAGGTCTGTCACTCCATGTGTGTCAGCTCCCTGGCCGGGGATGGAACTTATGCTGCAATGGCTTTGGAGAGCTTCATAATGTGGTGCTTTAACCCATTGCACCACCAGTGAGAGCCCTATTATGAAACATATTTTAAAAACTGTGACTGAGGGCCTTTCCTGGTGGCACAGTGGTTAAAGGCCAACACTAAAAACTAAAGCCACTTCAGCATGAGTTCAATCCCCACCCCAGAGGTGACCACATGGTGCGGCAGACCTCTCCTGACCTGCCCCCTGCTCCTCTCAGCAGTGTACCTCGTCAATCTGACTGTTCTGCTCCGCACTCTGTCTCTAGTGAATCCTCGCACCGCCCCTGCACCTCTGGCCTGTACCCCAGTTCTGTATGCATAAATAAATAAATCTTTAAAAAAAAAAAACAACTGTGACTGAAAGAGAAGAAAGAAAAAAGAAAAAAACAGGCTTGAAATTGAAATTAAACATAAAATGGAAGACCAAAGAGTAAATTAGGAAGGTATTTACAAAAAGTTGATTTCACAAGTAAATTGAGCAAACATAAAACAGTATGCACTGAATAACATAATTGATATATGCCTCTATTTGTTGGATTCTAAATACATTATTACATTATTTTCACTTTTTTATCATCTCTGAAGTTAAATGTGTTTTTGAATGTCATGACTTAATTGGTGGACTCCTTTTCTTCCTTAGTGGTACATATCTTACAATCAATGGTGTCTTATAAAGTGCAGGAAAAGCTGAATAAATTAAGGAATTCCAAATTTGGAGAACTTGCATTTCTGCTAGTATGTAAAAATAAAATCTAAACAATCATAATTATTTGAATTAATAGCTAAGGGTGAAATGCTACACCCCACAAGAAATTTTAAAATTATGTAGATTCCTAAATGATCATTTTTGGTTTTCTGGTTTTAATTGTAATTTGTACTAAAATGTACACACAGAAAAAAGTACAAGTCATAAATGTATTACTTGACAAATTTTCACACACCCAACCAAAATAAAAGAAATAAAACTGACAATTACCATTATCCATTATCCCTTATACCCTCTTTCAGCTGTTATCATCCACTGTTCTTCTCCTACAAGGTAAAATATTTTGATTTATAAACCCAGAGATTAGTTTTTCCTAATTTTTTGAACGTATATGAATCAATTCACAGAAAGTATATTGTTCTTGAACGTGACTTCTTTGGCTCATTATGTGGTCCTAATTCCCCCATACGTGTAGTTATACTTTGTTTTTTCTAATGATAGCATTACATTGTATAAATATAGCATACTTTATACTTTCCATTCTAGATGGACATTTGAGTTGCTTTTGGTGACTGCGTATGTATGCATTTCTGTTAGATACATATCTGAGAGGAATTACTGCTTCATAGGATGTATTTACTTTCAGTTTTAATAGACATATCCAAAAAGATTTGCAAAATGACTGTATCAATTACATTCCACTGACTGTTTATAACAATTTCTATTGACTCCTATGCTCATCGATACTTACTATTGTCTCTGCCATTTTAGCCATTTTAGAATGTAGTCATATTTTGTTTCAGTTTAATTTTCTTTTCCCTGATGACTAATGAAGTTGAACATCCTTTTGTATATCTGTTGGTCATTATACATGCTCTTTTGTGAAATGACTGTTCAAATATTTGTCCCTATTTTTAATTGACTTGATTACTGCTTATTCACTTCTAATTTTTCTTGGTGATATGAGTGATATGTAGTGTTAGCCTCAATTTCAGGTAGAAACTTTGAATGATTCATCATTAAATATGATTGCTATAGATTTTAAAAAGTCAATACATTTTATCAGATTAAGAATATTCATTCTATTCCTACTTGATTAAGGGCTTTTGCCACAAATAAATATTACTGGCTTTATGAGATATTTTTCTGTATCTGTCAAGATGATATTATATTTCTTTTTCCTGTTAACCTATTAAATTACATTGATTGATACTCAAATATTACTGTATTCCTGATTTCTTAGAATAAATCTGATTAGCTATAATGTATTATCTGATTTGTTGAAGTTTATTTAGGGATTTTTGCATCGACTTTCAGGCGAGAGATCAGACCATAAACTTTTTTACATAGAGTGTCCTTGTCAGCAACTGGTGTCAAAATTATCAGCTGAAAGTTAAAAATGCTAAGTGGTAGGATTCTACTAAATTTTCAGAAAATGTTATCAGAATGCTACATTTAAAATTTTTTTGAGAAAACTTCTGTGTCTAGGTAAAATGATGTGGCTAATATCAGACCAACCCTACCACCAAGGAAAACATTTTAAAAAGTTGCTATAACGGTATATATAACAATATATATATACACTATGTTATTTAATTCTATATCACATATCATGCAGTACACATACTAATGTATAGACATCTATAGAAATTAAAATTATGATTGTTTAATGAACTCAACTGATCTGAATGATAATATTATAGGCATATTGAATCAGTAAGCTAAAAGATAAAGCTGAGGGCCTCCTTCAGCAAATAATACAAAGCACAAAGATGAAAAAGATTTTGTCAGAATTTCTAATGCTTATATTTCAATAACATTTCATTTACAAGCACAGTAGCCTGATTTGGCCTATGGTCAGTGTCCCAACCATTACTTTAGACTGAAAAGCCCTAGTGAGTTTGACCTCTAATCTGTTTTCTGTCTCTGAATTTACCTGTTCTGCAAGTTTCATGTAAGTGGAATTATCCCTATACACAGTTGGTAGACATATAAACTGGTATAGTTTGTATTAGGTAACCTAGATTACCTTAAAAAACTGAAAATGGAAATGCTTTATTATGCAGCACATGAATACACACAGCAAGATGGTTGTCATCTACAAGCCAAGAGAAGGGGTGTCAGTGAAACCTTCCTTGCCAGCACCTTGATTAAGAAAGACTTTCTAGCTTTCAGAAGTATGAGAAATTTCTGTTTGTTTTTTTTTTAAGCCAAATAAATAAATGAAATTATATAATTGATTTTTTTTCATGTCTGGCTTCTTTCACTGAGCATGCTTTTGAAGTTCATAAAATTGCAACATGTATGTATACTTACTCTTTTTACAACCAGATATTTCATTGTGTAGATATACCACCCTTTTATTTATCCACTCATCTATTGATGAACATTTTGGCTAGTCCCAACCTTTTGGTTGTTGTAAGTAGTGCTGCTGAAAGCATTTGTCTTTAACATTTGTTTGTTTTCGCCAGTTCTTTGCATTTTGTACCTGGATGTAGAATTGCTATATTACATGGCAAGTCTTTTTAATTTTTTGAACAATTACAAAACTGTCTTTCACATTTTTTTTTTTTTAAAGATTTTATTTTATTTGTGCATACAGAACTGGGATACAGGCCAGAGATGTGGAGGGTGAGAGAATTCACCAGAGACAGAGTGGAGTGCAGAACAGGCAGATCAACGAAATACACTGCTGAGGGGAGCAGCGGGCGGGTCAGGAGAGGTCTGCCACGCCATGTGGTCACCTCCGGGGCAGGCGGGAATCGAACTCATGAGGAAGCGGCTTTAGATTCTCAGTGCTGTGCTTTAACCCGCTGCGCCACCAGGGAGGGCCTGTCTTTCACATTTTACATTCTCACCAGCAATGTGTTGAGAATTTCAGTTTCTCTACATCTTTTTCAGTATTTGTTCTTTATTTTGTTACAGTTATTCTAGTGATTATTATAATTCTAGGAATTCTTTTTTTTTTTTTAAGATTTTTTATTTTATTTGCGCATAAAGAACTGGGGTACAGGCCACCAGGGAGGGACGTAGGAATTCTTAATTATAATTGCATAGCCATTGAGAGAGGAAGCCACAAAGTAAAATAAGTAAAGCAAAAAGTCTTAAATTAGGAACCCAGAATTGCTAGCTTTTTATTATAATTTACCAAAGCATTTGATTAATAACTGGTACTTTGAATGATGAGAATCACTCCTACATATCTATATTTCTTTTTTATTCTTTCCTTTAGCTACATGAGAAGAAAAGGAATAATAATTAATGAAACATCTGCTGTTGTATATGCTCAGTTACTCACAGGTCATAAATATCAAATAAGTCAAAATGGTGAAGTTCGTCTAGAGAAACAGTGGTCAAAACAAGTACTTCCTTTTGTTTATCAAACTATTGTCAAGGTAAGTCTCTATCAGGTCTCAGTGGTATCTCGATGAACGTTATTGCATATTGTATAAACAAAAGACTATATTATGTTAATATTTATAATTAAAAGATGAATTCAACAGTAGATAATAGAGATTATTATTTAATTGAATATGTAATATTATAAGCTTTAAAAGAAGTACTATATGCTAGGTCACTTACTGTATGTAAAGTTAGGAAACAGGTGTGTGTGTGTCTTTGTTTACTTAATTAGAGGCAAATTCCAACGTTAACACAAATCCTTGCATATTTCCATTTTTGTTCTTCAAAACTGTGTGCCTGAAATAAATTAGTAATTACTGAAGACATTTGTTTTTATGTTTATAATCTGAGGTTAACATAGTTAGTGATTCTATAATTTTGGGAAAGCAGTATAGTGATTAAGAACATATGGTACCTAAGTGGACTTCTTAACTGTATTACATTAGACATAATTCATCCCCTTTCTGTGCCTTAGTTTCTTATGTTGCAAAAAAGTGTTAATAATGGTCTTTGCTACAGATGGTTGTTTTGAGAACACAATGAACTCATACATGTGAGAAGTACCTAAAATGCCTGGAACAAAAGCAGTTAATAAATGTTAGCTACAGGGCCTCACCTGGTGGCGCAGTGGGTTAAAGCACAGCGCTATGAGCCTATCCACAGCCACTGCAGCATGAGTTCGATCCCTGGCCAGGGAGGTGCTCACGTAGCGTGGCAGACCTGTCCTGACCTGTCTACTGCTCCCCTCAGCAGTGTATTTCAATACATCTGCCTGTTCTGCTCCCCACTCTGTCTCTGGTAAACCCTCTCACCCCCTGTACCCCTGGCTTGTACCCCAGCTCTGCAAGCATAAATAAAGAAATCTTTTTAAAAAAATTTAGCTACTAGTATTTTATGTGGAAAATCCTCACATTTGATATTTGCAGACAGCATATTAATCCCATAGAGAAAAAAACTTGATGTCCAATCTATAGATATTTTAACTGTGATTGATTTTCCTTTATATTTTATTCCACATAGGATATCCGTGCTTTCGATTCCCGTTTCTCCAGTATCAAAACATTGGAAGACTTGTTTCCTCCTAGAAGTATGGTCTTTATGCTTGGGACACCCTATTATGGCTGCACTGGAGAAGTTCGTTCCAGTTTTTGTTCCTAATTAAATTTGTTTATGATTTCAAATTAATACAATTATTTAACTTCTTGCCTAGATGTACAATTTCTAACTAAAGGGGGGAAATGTGGATGAATTCATTCCTCTAACATGAATATAATCTTCAAATATATATTAAGTCAGGCATGGGGAAAAGAATTCAATTTTGTGATTCTTTTTTGGTTGTATTTATTGTGATGATATAGATAACACAATTTTGAAATTATTTTAGATGTCATAAGGTTGATTGAATTTGTAAGTGTGCATGCAAATATGAACTGGGAAAATGCAAGAAAGAAACTATGGTACATATTAGAATTGAAGATATTAAGTGAACTCACAATTTCTAAAATATGTGTGTGGGTATGCACATGTGTGTATATGTATGTACAGGTATATGCATATAGACACACGTATTTATAATGCACACACATACACAATGTCTATATATGTGTGACATGTGTGTATACATGTGCATACACGACATGCACACAATTTTCATACACTTGTGTGCACATACATGCACAATGCATATATATCTATGTATACACAGGCGCACATATTTTAGAAATTGGTAGTTAACATTAATATCTCCAACTCTAATATGTATCACAGGTTCTTGCAATTTCCCAGTCCATATTTGCATACTCGTGTGTATATAAATATATTTTCTAGCTCTGCTGATTCAAAAGAATGAGGAAGAAAGATACCCTGATAACAGGGAACATGTGTAGTATGCAGAATTGACCTTTAATTAGTAACTACAAAAGTTATTTGCTTCTGTAGTTGTAATCTCAGATATAAAGGCACAGAATTTTCTAATGCATACCTCACTAAAGGATCAGAGGTTTTTAGAGAAATGACTGATTACAGAGTTGGGACAGGAAAGTAAAAAATGAACCAAAAAGTAAAGAAGTGCTTATAAGAATGATGAGAACATATCATATAAACAAAGGAAATCAGGTTGATGAGACTCCTCTTGGCCAAATCTGGGACAGTTTGAATACCAAAATAGTTAAATCAAATTAAATTAAGTCAAATTAAATAAAAACAATTAAACTACTGAGGATAAAATAGGAACTCTGGTTCCATAATGACAATATATGCAAATAAATAGGAAAGCTTTTGCTTATCATGTCAACAGTAAGTGTGAAGAGTGCTTGAATCAGAAAACCATCATTTTAAGCCGTATTTATAATAAACATTGGATAAGGAAAGAATAATCTTAGGAAGCTAAATCTGGGGATAAAAACACATCTCACTTATGCACTAATGTGGCTGAGGATATGTAATCTTAACCTAATCAAAAGGAAATATCAGAGAAATATGCAATGAGGAACCCTTTTTTTCTCTTAAAGACTGGTAGTAAAGAAGGAATAAACTGAATTTTTCAAACTTTCACTGTTATCAAAGACAAAAGAAAGACTGTGTATATAATCTAGGTCATAGGAGGCTAAAGAAGTGTGACAATTCAGTACAATATCTGTCCTAACATAGATCCTATATTAGAGGAAGAAAAGAGTTCTGTGAAGACTAACAAATTAGAATGTATACAGAAGATTAAAGTATTATGTCAATAAATTTATCTACTTTACGACTATACTATAATTATATAGTAAGATATCCTTTTTAGAAAATTTAGGACTAAGGAACATAATGTATATAATATGCCCTCAGAACTTTCAGAAAAGTAATTATGTTTATGTAAATATATGCATAGAGCCCAGTATTAAAGCAAATGGAGTAAAATGTCTATAATAGTTGAATTTGGGCAAATTCTTTGGCCTGTTTTCAGTTTTGAAACTTTTTAGTAGTTTGAATTTTCTTGCAAATAAAAAGCTAAATTTTTAAAAAGCCTAGTTGGCAGCTACGATAGCAAGTATACAGTGACTCAGATTTACAAGGATAGGATATTGTAACCCCTCCTTACAAATTCAAAGGGAATTTATTGTCTTACTCTACTTCAGAAATATGCACACTACTTAACTAAGTAAAAAATATAAAATGTAGTGAAATAGATTGAAGCTCTCTGATTTATTTTTCCCTCCCAGGTTCAGGATTCAGGGGATGTGATTACAGAAGGTAGGATTCGTGTGGTTTTCAGCATTCCATATGAACCCACTCTTGATGCTTTAATACAGAACCAGCATGTGAGTACTACATCCATATGATTTAATTTAGAACTGATGAACTCTCAAAACATTAGGCTGTTTTTGCTACTTCCTTTGAATTTATTGTAGGTATTTAATTTAATACTGATTAAATCCTCCCATAGTTGCATCTATTATTATTTAGAAATTGGTAGAATCTGCTCAAAACTTCATGCTGATATTCAGTTGGAGGGATGACTGAAATCCCTTCATTAATCTATACTAGTTATGGGTTAGAATGAACAAAAGGAAATCAGTGAATATCTTCAGAGAAAAGGATACCAAAAATGGATCTTTTTCTCCAAAGATGTTCATTGACCTCCTTTTATTTTTCTATGTTGTATTAAGGAGATGGTCCTGACTGATAGCTGTCATTTGATTAAGAACTTGACTAAAATTAATTAATAGTCAACCAACTGTTACTACTTATGTGTTGTGTTCTCTAATAAAACATAAATGTTTACATTCTGTGAAAAAAATTTAAGGCACTAGACTTCAATATACACATAAGGAATTTTATGGAAAGCAGAGAATTCTTATCAAGTTTCTTTGAGAGAAAGAATTCAGAAAGTGTAGTCAAGATACAAGAAGGGTAACCCATTAGTCCAAGAAGCTGGAGCTATGTTTAGGGAGTCAATGAGGGTGGAAGAACTTGTGTTCCTTCATCCTAGCTTTTTCTAGATCTGGAAGAATCTGCCTACTTCTGCTATACAGTATTGATAGATATGCCTTTTCCAGTGTATTTTCTTTCTCTTTACATACCTTCTTTAACTTTTGCTCAAGCCTTCTTTGGTTACCTGAATGTTCTCAGCTTTTTAGTTTATATTTTCTAAGCTATTTGTGATTATTTTAATTCATTTTCAGTTATACCATAATGTGATATTTCTGAAAAGAATATTAGCATTGTGGACAGAACAAGTATATGTTAAATGGGACTGTCTTATTTAACAGAATAGTTGGCATACTTGGGCCCTGGACAATATGTGCTAGTAGCTCATGCCACTTATTGTTCACTTAATGTACTTCTATACACATTTTCAGATGTTTATTAGAAAGGTATTGTAATAAAAAAAACTACTACCTTAATTATACTTAATACTGTATTATTTCTAAGTCTGATAATATTAATGAAAAAACTGCATTGCATTCTTTACTAACACATAGTGACTATGTCCTAGGCCACCAGAAATATCCATTTGGGGGTTATTATAAACATGATCATCTTTAAAAAATGATAGATGAATTAAGTCCTTACCAGTCAATGGAAATTTTGTTATTAGTGAGACAATAAGTTCATCTTACATATAAATATAAAATATACTTAAAATTCATGCAAATATGAATATAGCATATGAATATAAAATCCATATAAAATAAATATGTACTATCATATACCTAACATTGGAAGTATATAGTAGTTTGCCCTAATTAATAGTAGACTTGTGAGTAATTTGCTTTATAGTAAAAATCATGTGATTATATATTTTTTTAATTTGGCAATTTTCAGTTTCTTTTAAGTATACAACTTAGAGGCTACATTTTATTGACTATTAATTACAAACCTATACAGCTTTTTGTTTTCATATATAGTAAATATTGGGGAAATGAATATTACTTACATCTCTACATGCAGGACATTTAATTTTGCTCAGTAAAAACTGACAATAACATACTCAAGTTTTAATGCAGTGGCATTAGTAAGGCCTGGTGTTATTTTGGGTATGTATTAAATCCTTCTTGAAATATAATTAGTAAAAATTATAATAATACTTGCCTGCAGAATTTGCCACTTAATATATACAATAGAGTTTCTTTTTTTTTTTTTTTAAGATTTTATTTATTTATGCATACAAGAATTTGGGTAAGGCCAAGGTGCAGTGGGTAAGAGGATTCACCAGAGACAGAGTAGAGAATAGAACAGGCAGATTCACTGAAATACACTGCTGAGGGAAGCAGTGGGTGGGACTGGAGAGATTTGCCATTCCATGTGGGTCTCCTCTTGGCGGGGGGATCAAACTCATGCTGCAATGGCTGCAGGTAACTTCACAGTGCTGTGCTCTAACCTGTTATGCCAGCAGGGAAGAGTTTATTTCTTGAGACAGTTTCACAAACTATAATTCTTCCCCTTTTCATCCGTCCTTGAGAATTCTGTCCTTTAAGGAGACAGAAAAGCAGAAAAATTCTGCCTACAGATCCTTTTATAAAAGTGGTGGGGGTGGGGAGAAAATGGATTACTTGCTTTTGAGAATCTATACATTGCAACAATCCAGTAGTTAGTGATAATTTGAGTATCTCATATGTAAAGGTAAAGGAAATAACATTTATTGCCTTTGTTTCCATAATTGACTGTTTTGTTTTTATATTTAAAGAAATATTCTATAAAGTACAACCCAGGATATGTATTGGCCAGTCGCCTTGGAGTGAGTGGATACCTTGTTTCAAGGTTTACAGGAAGTATTTTTATTGGAAGAGGATCTAGGAGAAAGTAAGTTTATGTTAGAGAAATTTACTTACAGTGGCAAAAAAAAATGATAAAGATAAAAATGGTTGATATTTCAGTATTTATTTTATTAATTGTTCTGAATTTTCCTTTAAAATTATGAATAAATTCTCTGATGGTGATCTTTCATCTAAATGGCACTTGGTTTAGATGGTTGGAAAGACAGTTCTCATTTTAGTGACTAATAAATTGAACCTTGAAAAAAGGTATCAAAAGGTGTGTGTGAATCTCAGTAATATTTCATTCTCCTCTCTATATAACCTATTTATGTTTTAACTTGGGTTTTGAAGCCTTTCCTTTAGTTTTTCAATTACAGCTACTTTGGAAATTAATCATGATAATTAAAATATAGAAGAACTCTGCGGGGATTACAATTGAGATGAAAAAAATGTACAAAATAAACTGATGTAAAAATAAACTGTTATAAAAAATATATATATATAGAACTGCCCCCCCCCATTTTTTTTTCTAAGAATTGAAAGCAAAACTTTTTATTCTTTGAACAAACTTTTAAAACTTATGTGTGTGGTTTAAATTCAGCCCTCATGGAGACCATAAAGCAAATGTGGGTTTGAATCTCAAATTCAACAAAAAAAATGAGGAGGTTCCTGGATACACTAAGAAAGTTGGAAGTGAATGGATGTATTCATCTGCTGCAGAACAGCTTCTTGCAGAGTATTTAGAGAGGTAAGTGCCAAAGGAGATATTAGCAGGAATTCAAAACTTTTGAAGGTAATAACTTTATTGTGTCTTATATCAGTTTTAGAGAAAAAAATATTTTCTTTAGTCATATGTGACCTGTGTTATATATTAAAACTTAATTATGCCTTTAGCTAAAATAGAGTAGAAAAATGCTGCACTTACATTACTTAACATGAAGTTATGATGAGATGTGGTCTCCTTTTAATTAAAATTTTCCTTAGCTCGCCTTCATAAGTTCCTAACACAGTAATTTCTGCATGTTTATGTCAGTAGTAAAAGAGTGTTGTTATGGATAAGCAAAACAGCTTTTGACATAATACTTTTGTCTGAGTCCTAAAACTCTACAGTAGATAAACTATTCTAGTATTACTGAATATTTTATTGCTAAGAAGGTCTAAATAATCAACATGCCTTCACTTTTCATTATAAAAAAATAAGAAAACTGGTACCAAAATTTCTTTCTTAGTAGGAAAGATTTACAGGAAGTTTCTTTTCACTCACAGTTGAATATTCTTTCCATGTTCCTTCAGTTTCCAAGCTCATATTTGAGGATCATTGTATTAGTTTTCTAGGAATGCTATAACAAAGCATTCCAAATTAGATGACTTAAAACATTAGAAATTTATTATCTCACAGTTCTGAAGACAAGAAGCCTAAAATCAAGGTGTTCACCCATGGGGGTTTTCCTCTGAAAGATTAAGGAAGAAACTGCTCCCTAAATTCACTCCTCTCACTCCAATCTTCCTTTTTTCTTTTTCCTTAAACATCTTTGTTTATTCAGTTTTCCTTTTTCAGTTAGTGTTCTCCCTATCTTCACATCACCTTTTCTCTTTGTATGTCTAACTTTGTGTTCAAATCTCTTCATTTTAATAGGGACAATGCTCATATTAGATTAAAACCCACCCTGATGATTTTTATAATAACCTTGTTTTCCAAATAAAAGTTACATTCTTAGGTACTAAGAGTTAGAATTTTAACATATCTTCTTGGGAAAGGAGGAGGATACAATTCAATTCTGCATTTCCATTGGAAAGTTTATAGTATTCTCTTCACTTCCCTATTTTTTAAAAGGTAGTATTTCGACTACTTTTTCTGGATTTTTCATGTGACCTGTGTATTGATTTCCTACCATGAAAAAATGAAACTTCAGCCATCTTCTACTACACTTACCCCCAAATCCTCCCCTCCTCCTCACAATAGTTTTCTCACAGTTTTTAATTAATCTGAATTTAAAGTTTCCATGATTAAAGTAGCAATGTTAATGGTCACAGTTGGTGATTAGTACAATGGTCACAAACCTTGCAGAGTATTAGGATTAAATTTATTTCTTATACACCTTTTTCTTTTCTCTGCCTTGTTTATTCATTTACTTATCATCTAGGGTCACACAATCATTCAGCCCTAAACTTTGTCACAACTAGAAAATTTAGTACAGTCAGACACACTGGGTAATCTCTCAGTCTCATTTTTCTACCCACAAGCTTCCTCCTAAAACCTGTCTTCCTTCCTTCTTCAGTGTGAATTAATCATTCTGCACAGCATTTACAGCTCTTTCTAGAGTTTCACCACTGTCATCCTAGGAATTCCCAGCACCGTTATTCTATGTAGGATTGCTTCATTTCCTGTCATTGCTGTTTCTGTTTTATGTTGCCATTTTGATGGAGCACTTACTTAGTAGCTTCCCAAAAAAGTTTCCATATCTGCTTGATTGATAGCTTGCATGCATGTGGAATTCAAGATTAGAAATTCTTTTCATTTACAAATTGAAAAGAAATGCTGCAATCTTCTCGTTTCCATTGCTGTTGAGAATTCCTGTGCCATTCTCATTCTGAATATTAATGTATGATCTGTTTTAATATTATGAAATTATTTTAGAATCTTCCCTTTAGCAGTGCTGTATAATAATTGATGTGTATTGGTGTGGATAATTTTTCTTAACCTTTTACCATTTAGCCTTCTCAGACTTGAAACTGTTGCTCTTCCATTCTGTCTTGTAACTGTCTTGTATTATTTCTTTTGTAGTTTTCCCTTTCATTTTTCCTGTTCTTTCTGCAACTCCTCTTAGTTGTTTTAGCAACTCCTTTTTCATAGTGTCTTGTTGTTATAATGAATGAGTTATCATTGTTGTTCTCTGTTTTTCTGTTTCCTCCAAATTGCTTTTATGTTTCTTTGATATGGTCTCTCATGTTAAAGGCTTTTTTTTTTTTTTTACTGCTAGTTCTTTGGTGTCCAGTTATGTTTAAAAGTGAGACATTAAAAAGTTAGTTAGAGGCCCTCCCTGGTGGCGCAGCGGGTTAAAGCACAGCACTGAGAATCTAAGGCCGCTTCCTCATGAGTTCGATTCCCGCCTGCCCCGGAGGTGACCACATGGCGTGGCAGACCTCTCCTGACCCGCCCGCTGCTCCCCTCAGCAGTGTACTTCGTCGATCTGCCTGTTCTGCTCCCCACTCTGTCTCTGGTGAATCCTCTCACCCTCCGCATCTCTGGCCTGTACCCTGGTTCTGTATGAATAAATAAATAAATCTTTAAAAAAAAAAAAAAGTTAGTTGGAAATTCAGTGTGCTTTCATGGGGTTTGTTAGGTGGGACTTGACTGTTTTCTGCAGAATTCATCATTGACTATATATGTATATCTTTTCTCTGTGACTATTGTTCCCAGAGAAGTATCATCCAGGGTTTTCACTGGAGGGCTGATATGGGGGAAAAAACTGATTATCATTTTTGTGGAAACTAAACAGGGAAAGGGAATATCATTACTTTGTATATAGTTTAATAGTCCCAGTATCTCCCTTCAGGATTGAAGGACCTCTTACTTTTGACAGCAAGAATGGTAGTGTCTGACAGCCCTGAGCTGTGAAGCATCTTCAGGAATTGCCTGACAAAACAACTATGTCACCTAAAGTTATGACCTCATCCCACAAACAGCCACAGATCCACCACTCAATCAACTTATTTACCCAGTGCAGGACAAGTCCAAAGGCTAATTCTAGTTAAGATTTCTGTGACAGTCAAGGAATTCTGACTGAATGAATCATAGTGCAGCTTTCTCTCTGTAACCATTTCTGTTTCCTTCCTTTTTTTTTTTCATTCTGCAGATGTTGATTTCAAGCATGGCACACTCACTAATAAATGTCCTTTATATCTTCTCTCAGACTCTGCTACCTGAAGACCTTATAATTTGTAGTAAAATTGTTTAGCAGTTATACTTTCATTAATCCCTGCTTTCAGTATGACATCTATTTTCTTCTTCTTCTGCCCCACCACCCACCCAACCCAATTCCCTGGTGTGTACCCAAAGCTAAAGCAGCGCTTTTCATCCTCTCCTTATAAGCTACAGGTCTTCTGTCGTTGTTGAAAATTCATCAATCTTCATTTTTATACAATGTGTGCTTTATCATCTCGGGTGTAGTCCCCATAATCTTCCCACCAGTTCACCCATACACCATTACCATAGTCCCTTGTGTTCTTCCTGCCCTGCTTTGACTCTCCCCTCCTCTTCCCCCTCGCCGCCACAGTATGTCTCTGGTATAGTTGCCTATTGATTTTGGTTTTGCTTTATTATAATTGATAAGCTACAGGTCTTATGCTAGGGTGGAAGGTGAGTAGCCACATAACTATCTAATGACGTGTTACACCAGTTTTAAACAAAATGCTTACTAAACTTTGCCCCATATTGTAGCTTTACTTGTTTGATTATTGGTTATGTCCAGAAGGGCAGGTTTATAAAGGGAAAAAAGGAAATAAGATGACACTTTCACACAACCAGGCAGAAAGAGCATTTTAAAAAGACACCTGCACAGACACAAGTGGACAGTCTTGAGACAAGAACTGCATATACTGCAGCTTTGAAATGTGCCTTTTACAAACTCTTACAATTAAATGGACTTGCATCGTGTTTATTTTCCATACTGGTCACTTAGGATGCAGCTATTATCATGAAATTAGTTAATAATCATGTATGTTTAGAAACTGGAGACAGCTTCTAAAATTTTTTAATAACTCATATGCTACCAGATTGTCTTTTTCTCTGTCTTTCTGCCATCTTCATACTTTACTATTCTTTTAGTGGTTTAGAAAGTGAATAAAAATAAGCACTTGTTTATTCTGCTTTCTATATTTGGAAGTACTACTCTTCAGGAAGAATAGTGTTTTGGGGGAGTATTAAAACAAACTTTTGATGTGTTTTAACATGTTCAGTTGTACAGTGCTTCAGTATCTTTTGAAAATTAGAAAATGAACAGGTAGCTAGTACTTTTTTTTCCATTGAAATATTTTATTTGTACATGTTTTACATACATAGGAAAAATAAATCCCACAATTTTCCTTCATGTGCATTTTTGTCTTGTTTCTTCATGGTTCATTATGCCAGCTTAGGTTGTCAGTACAATAAAACCAAACTGATAGGGAAAAAAGCAGATTATTATGCCATTTTTCTAGATCTTTGAATTGCACATTAAATCTGGGGCTGGCCGCAACATGGATGGAGCTGGAAAAGATCATGCTTAGTGAAATAAGCCAGAAAGAAAAGGAAAAATACCGGATGGTTTCACTCATAGCAGGAATATAATGGACCAGGCGAGAAAATAATAATGATAATGAACAGCTATATACCAGAGACATTTTATGGGGGTGGAGTGGGGAATGGGAATAAAAACAGTGGGGGAAGAGAGGTGCACTGGACTGTGCTGATGGCACATGGGTGATTTGGTGATGGGAAGCCCAAGGGGATTACAGTTGAAATGGATAATTGCACAAAATGATGTAAAAGTAAGCTATTATTTAAAAAAAAAAAAAACTGGGGCTGGTCACCTCACATTTGTTTAAACTGCCTGTGAAGTATACAGTTTTACTAGCTTTGTCATCATCAGTGATTGCAAATTTGCCAATGTAACCATGCTTTATCATCACAATTAGAAGCTGAACAATGGCTTTGTAGCACTGCCCAGTAGGAACCTAGTCTTTACCTCTCTTTTTTGGCTTTATTGACACTCTTGAAGGCATCAGCAAGGACATTTCATTGTATACTATTGTGGTGGCACAAAAAACTGGTGCTGTGACTTTCTTTTTTGGCTTTATTGACACTCTTGAAGGCATCAGCAAGGACATTTCATTGTATACTATTGTGGTGGCACAAAAAACTGGTGCTGTGACTTTCCGACAACCCAATACATTTGACAGAAGAGCTACTCTTGTCAGTTGCCTGCCATAATGATCTAAGCTCTGAGAGTAGAGAGAATGAGTCTTCTAAGTAACTGAACTTTATTACAGCTTAGGAATTGAATCATTTTCCCCTCAGTTACTGAGTTTTTTTGAGGGCCTATGAGTGCTTTCTAGTATCTTAGTCTACCTATCCCTTGTTTTAGTACTCTGTATAATAAATTAGTCCTCAGTATATTTTGTATGTTTCCTTAAGTTCCAAAATTATTTGATAGGAGGTTTTTATAAAGTTAGCCACACTTTTTTTTTTTTAAAGATTATTTTTGCATACAGAACTGGGGTACAGGCCAGAGGTACATGGGCAGTGAGAGGATTCACCAGAGACAGAGTGGGGAGCAGAACAGGCAGACTGACAAAGTACATTGCTGAGGGGAGCAGCGAGTGAGACAGGAGAGGTCTGCTATGCCATATAGGTCACCTCCCTGGCCAGGGATCAAACTCGTGTTGAAGCAGTTGTGGCTAGCTTGTAGTGCTATACTTTAACCCATTGCGCAACCAGGGAGGACCCAGCCACATATTTTTTTAACTAATATTTTTGTTTCTTTGTTTGGCCAGAGCTCCAGAACTGTTTATTTATATAGCCAAAAATAGCCAAGAAGATGTGTTCTATGAAGATGACATTTGGCCTGGAGAAAATGAGAATGGGTAAGCAAAATTTATGGTATTGCTGCCGCAGAATTCAACTTAGAGTTTCGCGTGATAGATACAGGCAGCTAGTTAACCAGGAATTTATATTACTTTTGGGAGGAGGTTTTATGCTGTTTTGGTTTTATTTTAAGATGTTATTTTTAATTTTGTTTGCATAAGTAAAATACTTTAAAACTAATTTTGCCATTTTATTTATTTCTAAAAATATGCCATGTATATACCTTTGTATATTAGCTTTATAATTAGTTCCAGGTACATGTAGTGAGTAATAATTAAACATTTAATGTCCTCTATAATTCACAACCCTCAGAAAGTTTATGTCAGGCCTTTTTTATAAGCCTTCATATATTTTTAATCAATATGAAAAATTACTGTTTTTAATGTAGTGCTGAAAAAGTTCAAGAAATTATTACTTGGCTAAAGGGACATCCTGTCAGTACTTTGTCTCGTTCTTCTTGTGATTTACAAATTCTGGATGCAGCTATTGTTGAGAAAATTGAGGAAGAAGTTGAAAAATGCAAGGTACTAATTTTCTATAACTCAGTTTATTGATGAGATTTTAAGTTAAACAGCCTATATATTCTTTTACAAGTAATTCATTGTGTTTCAAACAAATGTGCTTAGTAATTCTATTGATGTGAAATCATCTTTCAATTTAAAAAATGTTCCAGCCATTTTCAGTGGCCATTAATATGTGTATCTTAGTAATGTAATTACACTTAAATATACAAAACCAAAGTATTTTATGTCCTGCTGTTCCTAGTCAAAATGGAAAGTTTTTATGATTTAGAAATATTAAATACTATACCTCCTATTCTATGTTCTTTAACTTTTCATATTTTTCAAAATAAAAATTTTATTTGACCTTTATAAATCACATTTAAAATGTACTTTCCTACTCATTCAATTACTAAGTTATCTTTGAAATTCCACTTAATCTCTCTTACTTTTTATGTCTTGGTTTTAAAAACTACAACTTTTTATTGCACATTTTATTGAATGTGCAATGTTGAATATTTGATCACTTATCTTGGTGCACTAGAAATTGGATTGATTATATTCCATATTTTTATCTTTTGGGTTTTCCACACATTTGCCTTTTTATTAATAAAATGATTTTGCTAGGCTAACATAGCACTCTCATTTGAACAGATAGAGTAATTAAGGAACAGGCTCTGAAGCGATCTTCTTTCCTCTTTCAATACATACTAACTGTAGGCAAGATACTTAGGCTTTCCCATTCTCCATTTCCTCATTGGTAAAATGAAAAATAAATGACCTTATAGGGTCTTCAAAAAACATTAAAGAAGTTAATATATATAAACTTCTTCTAATAATGCCTACCTATTACTAATTCCTACTAATTGCTTAGCTACTATTATTTTTTTAATATAGAGCTATATAATAAAGTCTTGAAAATCACCAGTAGATAAGTCTTTCTCTTTAAGAAAAATATATAAGGCTCAAAGCTGAGAGCTTGATTTTTTTGTGCAGGGACCACGCTAATCTCCATAAAGTCCCAGTTTAAGTATATATTCTGGCAAAGTGAGCACAGGATTTTTATTTTATTTATTTATTTCTTGTAAAGATTTATTTATTTGTGCATACAGAACTGGGGTGCAGGCCAGAGGCTCAGGGGCGGTGAGAGTCTTCACCAGAAACAGAGTGGGGAACAGAACAGGCAGATCAAGGAAGTACACTGCTGAGGGGAGCAGCGGGTGGGCCAGGAGAGGTCTGTCACGCCATGTGGTCACCTCCGGGGCAGGTGGGAATCAAACTCATGAGGAAGCGGCTTTAGATTCCCAGTGCTGTGCTTTAACCCAATGCGCCACCAGGGAGGGCCAAAGATTTTTATTTTTTTAATAGGTCGTTGATATTCAACTATGGAAAAGAAAGTCTACATTTCTTTTTAATTACCTTTCAGTGGACAATAAATTTCCTTTGTCCAGTATTGGTTTTGAATGAATTTTCCACTTCACCAAAGTTTGTAACTTTAAACCACCGTATTTTTTTACACATTTGTGTCGAGAACTTTCTGAAATGTTTTATACATTTCTCCTTACTTTTCAATCTTTAGATGCATATGCAAAATTGTTATCTTCAGCACAATATGTTTTTAAATGTGTGTGCATGTAGAGAAGATTAGAATTTTTGTCATGAAGGTATGATTATGAGTGATTTTCCTTTTAGTGATATGATGTAATTAGGAGAGCAAAAATTATGAAGGAAAGATAAACACAGCATTCAAAACACAATTTCAATTTTTCCTTATAATACAGTTAACATTAAAAGTGTTTCTTTAATGAAGACTCTGCAGTAGTTCTCTTACTAGATTGTCATTCCTAAACTCAGCTAAATATCAAATTCTCAAAATTACTGGAGTTCTTTTTTTAAAAAATAAATTATAGAGAGCTTCCACACCTAGAACAGAGCAGTACGTCTCAAACTATAATATGCAAAAAAAAAAAAAATCATCACTGGTATATCTTCTTAAAATACAGATTCTGATTTAGTAGACCTAGGATGGGAATTGAGGTTCTTACATGTTCCCGGGTGACCACATTTCAAATAGCAAGACCCTGAAACTTCTTGTTTAGTAGATGTGAGATAAAGTTATTTTGAAAATTCCCTCTAATATATTAATTTACCTCGTGAATCCGTGCCATAGCCTCTATTCAGTAGTATCATTTATATTGTCTAGAAATTCACTCAAACACAGGTTTTTCATAAGTAATATTCCAAGCACAGTTGTTTTTTCTGTCTTTTCATATTTTTTCTTCTCACTGTATTTAGTGGACACCAGCTGTACTCTGTTAGTCCTTTGAGTAAGCCATGGTCTGGAAACAAAAGTTTGTCAGTAGGCCTTCACTATTCACCCTGTTTAAAATTAAAATCTCTCCCCAAACTATCCATCCCCCTTACCTGCTTTATTTTTCTTCATGCTTTTTTACCTTCAAGCAAAGCTATTTCTTTCCCTATTTTGATTTTTGTATGTCTTTCTAAGCTAAACAATTGAGTAGTTCACTGTTTTATTCTCCAGCACCTAGATCTACATGTGGCACATAAATGTATCTCAGTAAATACTTGAAAGAACAAATAAAACGTTTCTATTATAATTTAGAGGAAAAGACTGAAAAAAGTTTGAGCATTTTACAATGTATACATTGATTAGCTTATTTTATACAGACTCTCTAGCTTGGAACTGTTTTGTGCCCTTTTATACTTATTTCCATAAGCAGTGTTCTAAAGATATGTGGCTACCATGTAAGTAAAAGGCTGCATTTTTCTAATTAGATGAGAATTCATTTTTTAAAAGAATGTAATGGGATTAGTAGTTTTGATTGCAGTGGATATAAATTAGTCTCACATTTTTATTAGATCAAACTGGTAGTATTTTTTCTGTCTTACAAGTGGAAAGAAGTGGATGCTTAAATTAAGAATGAGTTCACAGAGCTTTTTTTTTTCTTTTAAAAAAGAAAAAAACTCTTCTTTGAGTATTTTTTAGATAATAAAAAATCCAAATACGAAACCAGTTTCATAACAAATTCCAAATCCACAACTTTGTATCAAATAAATACCACCTTCATTTTTGTAAGTAGCTAAAAACCCCACCATATTGTCAAGGATGAATATTTTGTACCTTTTTTTCCTTTATGTAAGTCTTAGTGACCAGTGTATACAATTCTTTAGAATAAAAAAGCATTTGGATAAAATAACATTTACATAAAGTTCAAAGTTGACAAATCTCATCCTTTGTGTTAGACTGTTACTTTCTGGAAGGATAGTCACAGGGAATGGAGTTCAGGGTTTCCTGTGACATGCTCAATAATGTTCTCTTTTTGAACTGGATATGATTACATGTTGCTGCAACTAAGATTATAAAAATTCATCTGGCTGTATTCTTATAAATCTGCAGTTTTTTCTGTATGTCATATACCTCAAGAAAATTATTTTAAACTTTCTAAATAATTTTTCCTTACCAAACTAAAGAACTTCAGATATTCTTAAGTCAAGCTTTTTCTTGATTTTCATTGTAATCTCTTGATTTCAATGAGATAAACATGATATATGAGCTTATTTTCAGTTCAAAATTTTTGATCATTTCATTTTGACTTTAAAATTTAGACATGGACACATACTAAGTAATAGTTTTATATTTTTTTAATATTTCAAATTTTTTCTTTCCTCAGCAAAAAAAGAATAATAAGAAGGTACGAGTAACAGTGAAACCCCATTTGCTGTACAGAGTAAGTTTCCTATCAGAGACTGCAATTGTTATTTTTACTTTGAAAATTTAGAAGGTGTTAGGTGTTTTATTAATAGAAAAACTTCTTTTTAGAGGTAATAATAAAATTTTCTTGTCTTCAGCCTTTAGAACAGCAACATGGAGTCATTCCTGATCGTGATGCAGAATTTCGTCTCTTTGACCGTGTTGTAAATGTGAGAGAGAATTTTTCAGTTCCAGTTGGCCTTCGAGGCACCATAATAGGAATTAAAGGGGGTAATTTCTCAATACTTAACTTTTTGTATTTGTATAGTAAAACAAAAATATATGTGTCTTCTAGCTAAACAGAATATCAATCAGGAAAAAAGCAAAAGCCTTTTATGGTTTAAATTTTTTTGTCTTTAATTTTCAGAGAAAATTCTTTTTTGCTTTGTGTAGTCTTCTGGAAAGGGAAAGTTGAGGAAGAATTGCTTAGAATTTGGTCATTTGCATATAGTACATTAAAATTATGTAAGACTTGGCTGGTGTATATATGTTTTCATGAAACCAGGAAAAGCATTTTTTCACTTCCCCTTCGTAAAAGGGACGGATTTAAATGTTCATCAAAATGATGAGAAGGCAGCTTTGCAACATAGATTCCAAATCAAAAGTCAACCAGAAAGAAACAGCAAATCAGGTGCTCAAAGGTTAGGTGCTAACAGCATTGTCCCTCCATGCCTCTCTTTCTTGGGTTTAGGTTTTAGGTAAAAGTGTCAGGTGAAAGGTGCATCTGGAGGTGGAAAATGAGTGACTCCTTAGTCCTTATAAAGGACTGGTATATTGGTGACATCCCACCCCTACCAGGGGCTAGCACAGTATCAGAGTTTATATTAGTCAGGATTCTGCATAGAAACAGAACCAGCAGAATGGAAAGGGAAGTGATGGCAGGCAGGGTTGGGGTTGGGGGGGTTGGTGAGTGGAAACACAAAAGATACAGCCAGTTACAAAGTTAGCGTATAGACTATTATTAATTTGGCTGTAGAATTCAAAACATTACTATAGCTAAGTATATTGCTTTACCTTGTTGTTTTGGTAAATTTAACCTCTCTTGATATATCTCGTCATTCCTTGTACCAAATTTAGTTGTTCTATCTCTAAGTAAATTGTGCTACTGTTTCTCTTATATGTTCCATGTGTCAATTATGAAACGCATAACCTACCAACTCCTCTCACAGAATCTTTGAGTCATCTCAATACTTCTCATCCCCCAAAGACACAAACTTCTACCAACTAACTCTATCTAAGTATATGTCTATTCATCCTTTGAACTGTCCTTATTACTGCCATGTTTCAAATCTTTATTGTTTTCTCTGACCTATGCAACAAACTGCAAAGTATCTTTTGCATTGACACTCTTATTACTAACAATTTCAAACATACACAAAAGAGAGAGGAAGTATAATTACTTAGTACAGCATATAATTCAAAATATTGTTTTTAAGGTTAACATCTGCAAGATAACCTGTGAATCATTTACTTTTTGTTCATTATCGGTATTCCCCTATACCATTTTTTATAGTTGTAATACTTCTTATAATTCCAGATACTTATAAGCTAATTTTTATTATACAGTGCTTTAAATCTCATTCTTTTTTAACAGCTACTAGAGAAGCTGACATACTATTTGAAGTATTATTTGATGAAGAATTTCCTGGAGGCTTAACAATAAGGTTTGTGTTTCAAGATAAGAATTATACTTCCTGAGTATGCCCATGTGACCATCTTTTATTACTCACTTGTTACTTAAATTCCTATTATGTGCAACACACTATACTGCAGGCCTCCGTGGTGCACAAGGAGTTAAGTCTCAGCATTGTGATGCTGTTAGCAGCCAATGCAACATGAATTCAGTCCCCAGCCTGGGAGCTCACCCACATGGTACAGCAGACCTCTCCTGTCTCTCTTGCTGCTCCCTCAGCAGTGTATTTCAGTTTCAGTTAATCTGCTTGGTTCTGCTCCCTACTCTTGTCATTGGTGACTCCTCTTACCCCTCTCCCCACACATCTGGCCGACACCCCAGTTCTTGTATGCATAAATAAATACATAAATCTTTAAATTGGGGGAACACTAATAGAGAGATTAAAGTTACAACAAAAAGGGATCATGATACAATAAGAAGCACATGGTATATTAGAAAACATGGATGCTCTTTTTGGGGGGGGGTCTCTCTTTTTTAACCCTTGTGTTACCTTAGGTTAGTTGAGAGTGTTCTGATTCTCAATTTCCTTATTTATAATGAAGACATATACTCACTAGGTAATTGTAAAAATTAAATGAAGTCCTTTCCAGCTAGCTTTTCCCTTTTAAAATAACAAATGGAAAAGGAAGTGTATTTACCTTTTTCTTTCCTATTTTGACTAATCGGTAATTAAAATGAAAATAACTCCACTTGTTTGGCCTCTGCAAAATTCCTAATTTTCAGTTCTTATACTTGGTGATCCCTTTAGAATGATATTGGTATTGTTCTATAACTTGAATGTACCTGTTACCCAGATTGCCCTCCTTAAACATTATTGTCTTTAGTTGTTACTACTTGCACTCTTAAAATGAAGCAGCATATCTGATCTTTTTTTTTTCTCTCTCTCTTTATTTTCATTTCTACAGTCCAGCAATTTTTTTTTAAATAGCAGTAGCTTCAAATTCCACAAACAAAATTGAAAAACAGCTATATTTTCTTTGAATCCTTTCTTCTGTATACTCAGTAATTCCAGCACCACAATATCTAGCATACACAAACTTCAGGGAAAGGCTAGTAGATACATACAGGTTGGAATGATGGCACTCTTAGTTGTGGAGTGTTATAATCCCACAAACAAAAAGCACAGCATATAGAATAACGTATGTATACTGAGGAAACTTGCATGGGTTACAAGGCACTTTGTGCATATTTAAAAATCAGATAAGTTGTCTGTATTGCACTTTTCAAATAATTTGGTGAGCATTGATTAGTATTGTCTGTGTTGGCTTTAATATTTTTGCATGATGGCCCTCCCTGGTGGTGCAATGGGTTAGGACGCAAGCTAGCCATAGCCACTTCAGTGAGAGTTGGATCCCAGGGCGCACCCCCCCCCCCCCCCCCGAGGAAACTCACATGGTATGGCAGACCTCTCCTGTTTCACCCACTGCTCCCCTCAGCAGTGTAGTTCATCAGTCTGCCTGTTCTGCTCCTCACTATCTCTGGTGAATCCTCTCACCGCCCCTGCACCATTGGCCTGTACCCCACTTCCTATGCATAAATAATCTTTAAAAAAAAACAAACTTACACAGTCACATGCCAATATTTTTGCTGTAACCTGTCGATCTTATTTTTTTATGAAAATGTTTATCTACCAATAACCTTAGCCCAAAACTTTGATAATGAATTTTGAAGATGATTAACTTTTTTCTCATTTTTTTAATCCCTCCTAGTTAGAGAAAATAGAAAGTTGTGTAAAAGATTAGCTGCTTGGAGCATATTTGTTTTGATGGTGTACTCTCTTTTAAGTTTAGTTTTGATGAAAGTTTTTTCTAGAAATCTTACAAAAATTTCTGATAATTCTACTTCTCTACTATCTTACAGTATAAGAACTTCATATTCCCAAAGAAAGAAAACTTAGGTGCTAATGTTGAAAACTTTTGATAAGAGAAGACTTATTTTAATGCCTTAACTATTTTATGAAGGTTAGGAAGGTAGGAAACCACAAATACATGTCAATTAAGCCTTCTCAGTTCCTGAACTTGAAGATAGGAAGGGTTAAAAAAAGGGATCAAGGGCCCTTCCTGGTGGCCCAGCGGGTTAAAGTACAGCACTGAGAAACTAAAGCCACTTCAGCATGAGTTGGATCCCCACCCCAGAGGTGATCCACATGTCTGGGCAGACCTCTCCTGACCTGCCCGCTGCCCCCCTCAGCAGTGTACTTCATCATTATCAGTCAGCCTGTTATGCTCCCCATTCTGTCTCTGGTGAATCCTCTTACCACCCCTGCACCTCTGGCCTCAGCTCTTTATGCATAAATAATTTTTTTTTTTAAAAAAAGGGCTTGAGGGCCCTCCCTGGTGGCGCAGCGGGTTAAAGCACAGCACTGAGAATCTGAAGCCACTTCCGTATGAGTTCGATTCCCGCCTGCCCCGGAGGAGACCACATGGTGGGCCAGACCTCTCCTGACCCGCCCGCTGCTCCCCTCAGCAGTGTACTTCGTCGATCTGCCTGTTCTGCTCCCCACTCTGTCTCTGGTGAAGCCTCTCACCGCCCCTGAGCCTCTGGCCTGTACCCCAGTTCTGTATGAATAAATAAATAAATCTTTAAAAAAAAAAAAAAAAAAAAGGGCTTGAATCAACAATTGACCAGGAAACAAAAGCAAACAAAACTAACATGCATTGTTGCCTAGGTAGAGCCACTCAGAATGACAACACTTGGGTAGCTCCTGAGCTAATCCAGACTATAAAAACTAGTTATTAAGAAATGTTTGACATTGAATTCATAAAAATTTAGTAGTATGTTGCCATTTTTTTGAGGGCCAACTGAGTCAGGACACACATATCTGGCACACACAACTGTACCACTGAAACAGCATTTTTACCTCTCTTAGCAGTGCTAGATAGTTTCTTAGGAAACTTTTAAAGAAATGTATTTTATAGTCCCTTGTGCTCTTCCTTCCCCTGTTTTGATTCCTCTCCCACCCACCCCACTACCCACAGCCCCAGCAGAATGTCTCTGATTTATAGTTGCCTTTTATTTTTATTTTTTCATTACTTTTTTTTTCTGATCCCTTATTTGGTTCTTTTATATTCCTGCTATAAGCGAAATTATCCAATATTTTTCTTTTTCCTTCTGGCTTATTTCGTTGAGCATAATCTCTTCCAACTCCATTCATGTTGCTGTGAATGACATGAGTTTATCTTTTTTGATTGCTGAATAGTAGTGCATAGGTGAATTGGTGGTGGGAATTTTATAGGGCCTACACCTGAGAATAAAAAGCAAACATTGTTCACAAATGAACAGTGATGTAAAATATATATAAGCAAATAAATTAATTAAAAAAGGAAAAAAACAGGATTCTGTTTCATACATATATTATTTTAAACAATGTACAGAACAGTAGTAAAAAATGGATTAATCAGAATAATCTTCCATTTTGGTGTGGGAATAAAAAGGAATGTCAGGTAAAGACTAAAATAATACCATAACAAAAATAAACTTTTACCTTTATAATTAAAAAACTGTATCATATATTGGGATCTTTTTATTGTTTCTATTCTACTGAATTTAAAGGTAATGTTTATTCATTTAGATTATAGATTATCCATCAAAAGGTATTTAATGCTTTTGCTTAATTGAATATTTGGTATTACTTCTCTCTGACTCTAAAAATAACTTTTTACTTTTAGGTGCTCACCTGGTAGAGGTTATCGACTGCCAACAAGTGCCTTGGTGAATCTTTCTCATGGGAGTCGCTCTGAAACTGGCAATCAGAAGTTGACAGCCATTGTGAAACCACAACCAGCAGTGAATCATTCTTGCTTAAGTTCATCGGTTACTTCTGGACATTTGGGAGGCCTCAATCATTCCCCTCAGTCACTTTTTGTTCCTACTCAGGTAAGATTCTTTCTCTTTTATTTCTCTCCACCCCATTTATATATCACAGATAGACTTTGTAAATGGAAATTAATTTGACTTAGATTTTTTTTATTCCATTATTAACATTATTCATTTTTTATTAACCAAATGCCATTGTTTTTAGTTCCTGTTTTTTATTTAAAACGTTTTGGTTAATTGTTTTCACAATGTAGGGTTTCTCTCTTAAGTATTTTTCCCACCATCAAAGCCCAGAAGTCATGTACCATAGTACTTGTACTCTCCTCCTCACCTGTTTCCTCCCTTACCCCCCTATGTTGGTTTCTCTACATTCCACATATAAGCAAAACCATGAGGTATTTTCGTTCTTCTTCCCACTTACTTCATTGAGAAAAGTCCCTCACATTTCCATCCATGTTACCACAATTGGCATAAATGTATATTTTTTGACTACTATGTAATAAGGATGTAAAATAAAAAGTAAATAGTCAATTCTAGATTTGTTTTAAGAAACTAGTAAAGAACACCATTGATAGTATGTTATCTCTATTATAAAATTAGTCATATTAAAGAAGAAATTTATTTATGTCTAAAGATTTATTTATGCATGCAGAACTAGGGTACAGGCCAGAGGCGCAGGGGTGGTGAGAGGCTTCACCAGAGACAGAGTGGGGAGCAGAACAGGTAGATCGATGAAGTACACTGCTGAGGGGAGCAACAGGCAGGTCAGGAGAGGTCTGCTGCACCATGTGGGTCACCTCCAGCATGGGGATTGAACTCAGCTGAAGTGACTTTAGCTTCTTAGTGCTGTGCTTTCACCTGCTGTGCCACCAAGGAGGGCCAGAAATTTATTTTTTTAAATAATGAGCATGAGTGGCTTTTATTTGCTTTTCAACTAACATTTACATTTTTTCCTATAAGATATATATATCTATATATATATATATAGATATATATATATATATACTACTCAGGAATCAAAAAAAGATAAACTCGTACCATTTGCAGTAACATGCATGAAGCCTGAATGGATTATGCTAAGCAAAATAATTAGATGGAAAAAGAAAAATACAGAATGGTTTCACTTTAGTTGGGACATAGGAATGCCAAAGAATTGGGAAAAATACAAAATTTGCAAACTGGTGATAGATTTAAGGCAAACATCAAGGGAAGGGTAGTGAGAACGTTCAAAATAGGAAGGGAAGAGCAAAAAGGACTATAATGATGGGTGCTAGTTCATGGAAGAACTACAGGGAATTACACCTGAGTGAGAACAATTATTTAAGAAAATTTTAAAAATTTAAAAGTAAAACAATTTTCAGATATAATTCACATTAAAATATTAATTAATTTTTTCATATATAAAATATATTCCCTTGAGGTCTGCTGTGAAATTAGATAAATTTGAAAAGTAAAAGGGAGAGGAATATATCATCTGTATAAAAAACAATTTCCAAGTTCCCACTATGCTGTTTTGGATGATTTCCTTTATTTCATGTTATTGGGCACAAAGGTTGAATTATTTTGTGCAAGGCATTTAACTTTATTATTCCATGGTTCCCATCTGGCCCCACTTATTAACCAAATAATACCTGCCTATAATAGTCCAAATAGAAAACACACATAGGGGCCAACTCTGGTGGCACAACAGGTTAAAGCTCAGCACTCCTAAGTTAGAAAACACACACAGTAGATAATAACCAAGGAGAATAAAAGCAAAATTTTTCTCATATCTCAGGTGGTGACTGTTAAATTTTTAGTACATTTTATTCTGTATGAAATTGGTACTCTATAACTAATATCTGAGATTTAATAGATTACTTTTGTGTAAGATAATTTTAAAAATAACCCCATTAGATGTTCACTTGAATGAAATATCTATTTTAGAGGACAAAAGTATCTGTTTGGGATATTGAGACAATGTATTTTTTTATATCATTTGTCATTTAAATACTGAAATTTTCAGTAAAATCATTCAAAATGAGTGACATATGAAGACCATTTTCATTCAGATATATAGTATACTTTCATAATTACTGTACTCAGCTGCAAAAAAAAACCTTGAGATTTCAGACAATGAAAGTTAAATATCCTGTCTATCACTGAATAACTTTAATCATCACTATTTAATTTTAATATGAATACTTTTTTTATGTTTCATTTTCATTTTATTTATTATTCTTTCTTCATGTTCAGTTCCTTAAGAAACTGTTTTGTGCTTGGTAGGTACCCCCTAAAGATGATGATGAATTTTGTAACATTTGGCAGTCCTTACAGGGATCTGGAAAGGCTCAGCATTTTCAACCAACTCTGCAAGAGAAGGTTTGTTAGACATTTTATATATTTTTTAAAAGGTTTATTTATTCATGATCACAGGAACTGGGGTACAGGCCAGAGCTGTGGAGGGCAAGAGGATTCACCAGAGACAGAGTAGGGAGCAGAACAGGCAAATGTACTGAAACACACTGCTGAGAGGAGCAGCAGGTAGGTCAGGAGAGATCTGCTGAACCATGTGGGTCACCTGGCTGGGGATCAAATTCCTGCCACAGTGGCTGCAGATAGCTTCATAGTGCTGTGTTTTAACCCACTGTACTACCAGGGAGGGCCCCATTTTATATTTTTTATATTTCTCTGTTTGATATTTAATGAGTAATTTTCTCCTAAAATTTTATCATTTAGAAATAAGTCTAGATCATGAATTTTCATAATTCAGCCATCTATAAAAAAAATGTATACCCATATGTGAGAATATAGGTGATTTTTTTAATTGTAAATCAGTTTTGGTTTTTTTTTTAGTTTTAACAAAATCACAGGTACTGTTTTTAAAATTCAGCAGAGGCATAATGCCACTCATTAGTTTATTGGTTTTCACTTCAGTGTGTAGCTTTGTGCTATCCTTGGATTGTCTTAAATATGAATGACCAAATTCACATTCCTTTAGAGAGATTAAGAAGAGATTTTGCTAAAAAAGTAGACCAAGAAAAGTAATAAATTCCTACTGTACTTTTTGCTAGTTACTTACCTTTCATCTCAAATTGTTTCTCAATTTCTGTTTTCTGTTTTATTCTGATATCTTCCAGTGATGCTGGTGTTATCAGAACTAAAGAGGGCAAAATAGCAAAGGAAATGATGGCAGAATAAAAATTAAAAATGAGAGTGACAAAATAAAGAGTCTCCTCTTCCAATATGCTACTATGTTTTCTTTTCTAACTAAATGTCATCTATATCAGATTTTCAAACTCTGTTTGCCTCTCTAATTTATTAGATACTGCTAATTCTTTGGGAGTACTTCACTATCATTCATTGATTCAAAACATATTTATTGAGTTCCTACCATGATCTTTGCAGTAAAAATATAGCAATAAACAAAACAAAAACATTCTCCATACAATTAAGGAGAAGAGGATAGTAAAATAAATAAGTACATTACATGGTGCATTAAACAGTAATACATTTTTGAGAAAAATTGCAGAGACTGAAGTCAGGGAATGTTGGTGAGGAGAGAGAAAAGATTTCTTACAGTTTTAAATAAAATGATCAGGTCACATTTGAGCAAAAATTTGAGTGAAATAGTAAATATGGGTATATAGACATAGAAGGGAGAGCATTGCAGATAAAATAAAACCCTATTATCAGGACAATTCCTTGCATACTAAAGGAAGAAGAATAAGGCCATGAATCATTAGACTAAATTGTAGGAAATGGAGTTAATTTTATAGTTCCTGAAGGGTCATTGTCTAGCTTTCACCAATTAATCCCAAATAACCAATAGATTTCAAGTGAGGAACCTTTATAGGTATCACACAGTATAGAGAGGCAACAAGTATCCCGAGCTATGTTAAGAGCAGTGGAGGACCCTAGTTTCAGGGAGTTGGTTAACAGGGCTGGGTAGTAGGGGGTTACATTTTATGCCAGGCTATCCTGGGCCATATGCAGAAGAGATGCATGTTTCTTCATATATCATATATCTCATTAGCAGCTTAGGTCTCCACTCAACTGAGTGTGTTTAATAGGTTAATGAGATGTAGGTCACTTTTAGATCATCCTACTGCCATATGCAGCAAGTTTCAGTTAGTTCTGGGGCCTTTACCCACAGGCAGGAAGCTTCTACAGGGTAAAAGGTCTATTTCTCACTGGTCATTTGCTGGATTCCTATTAACCCTAAGAGGGTTCAATAACAGGAAGGTTAAGCAAACAAGATCTAGTCCTATAGTAGTTAGAGAGATAACACATCACCATTAAGCTGGACACCATTAAAAGGATATTGGTTTTCATTCCGTGAGATGTGAAATCATTGAGGGGGCTTTTAGCAGCAAAGTAACGTGATCTTATTTATATTTTAGTAGGATCACTCTGTCTGCATCTTGAGAATAGAATGTCAAATGTGGAACAGAAATTAGTTTGGAGATTGTAATCATCAAGTGAGAGTTGATAATGACTTGACCAGGCTAGTAGAAGTCTATAAGAAGTGATCAAATTCTTCTAGATCTGAATAACTGAAAAATATAGATTGGCTATTAATGGAGATAGGGAAGATTGCAGATCTTGTAGGTTTGTGGGGGAAGAAAGATCAGGAGTTAAATTTGGGACATTTTAAATTTGCAATACATATTAAACATTCAAACAGAGAAACAGTTGGACATTTGAATGGAGATACAGAGTTGAACATTAAGTCTAAGGTCATGGATTGATGTACAAGATGGTGTGTGCATGTGTGTGTATATAGGGAAGTGGATATAGATAGAGGCTTAATAACTTAACCTTACAGTTGTCAGTCTTTATTGAGTCAGAAAGATTAAGTAAAATGGACAAAGATTAAGAGGAAATGGACAATGAGATAGGAGGAAAAGCAATAAAGGGTGTTGTTTCCTAGATGAAAAGTAAAGAATGAATGTCAAGGAAAACAGGACAATCAACTGTGTCAAGTGTACCTAATGACCCAATTAAGGTGAAATCTTAGAATTGAACCATGGTCATTGGATATCTTGATGCAATTTCAGTAGGTTGATAAGAATGAAAGACTGACTAAAGTGGACTGAAGAAAGACAGGGACAAGAGAAATTGGAGGCATGAAATATTCAAATTGCTTTGAAAGTAATTCTTTCAAAGAGTTTTACCACAAAAGAAAATATTACCCTGAATCCTCTCTTGCCCTTGCCTATTTGTTTAATTTGTTTAACATCGGCACTTCCAGCCTTTCCCTGAGGACTATTTCCCCAAAACTTCATTTTCATTTTTTCCCTTTGCTTTATTGTTTAACTGGTGACTTTCGCTCTTACTCTTTGCTAATTACTATGCAATCTCTACCTCTGATTCCAATCACTTGTTCTGAATTAATCCAGTATCTCTAACTTTCCAGAACAGAAAAATATAGATGGGTGGATGCCCTACTATCACCTCAATCTCAAGATGTCTTAAAATTGACCTTGCCAAAAACTCTTAACCTTATTTCAAATACAACCATTTTCTCAAGTATATACTCTAAAAAGCGAAGATAATTTTTTTCTCTTTCTTATATTTGTAGTATTGAGATGCCAAGTTCTTTCACTCTTTCTCAGTTCCCACAAATAAACCTTAGATTGTCAGTTCACACCTAGATTAGCCTCTTATCTGTATTTTCTGTGTCTTACCTTTTTACTTTCTAATCCTTCCTACATAGGAATATCTGGTTAATCTCCCCTTAACGTCCTTTCACCTGTGTTGGCCCCATGACATATTTGGCAAGGCATAATTAATAGGAGCTCCTAAATTTGAATTCATTTTTTGCCTTGAGACATGGTGTGATAAATCTGATATGAACTCAGTATCCGGTTTTATGACTCAATCTAAACTAATCTAATTTTACTGTACCTTCATGGCCTCATTTGGAGTTAGATGACATTTTAGGTCTTTTCCAGTGCCCAAAAAGTATTATTTTAATACTCATTCTAGAGTATAGGATTGTCTTTTTAATATTATTGAGATCCAAACCCATCTCAAACTAGTATCAAAACCTTCTACAATCTAATAAGGAATTCTTATATAAAATATGTCCAACTTGGTAAAATGGTCTGTTCTGGTCAAACTGGTGTCTACTTTTCCTACCTTACAAAGAGATAATTCCCATGTCAAGTTTTCTATTCTTGTTCCTTCTACTTAGAATCCTCATTCCTTAATTCCTGCCAAGGTCTGCAGTCATGTTGTCACTTGTTGCCTTGAGTTGAAATTCCATACTTGATATTATATTTTCTCAGGACCTTCTGCATATATCCCTTGTCACTTGGTGTTTTCTCACTATATCATGTTTTATCTGCTGTATATGGCAAAAATATGAGCCACCACATATAATGTTGATATCCAAGAAACATTAATAAGCTCCCTGATATTCATCTGATGAACCAATTATACAGAACTCACAGTGATAATTTTGAAAAAGAAAGAGACAGTATTCAAGCTTTTGAAAAAAGAATTCTGGAGACAGTAAAATATGGATATTGCTACAGTTTAGGGAGAGAGAGAAGATGAATAGGTAGAGCACAAAAATTTTAGGGCACTAAGTATACTCTTTATGATATTTTAATGGTAGCTATATATCATTATATTTTTGTCTAAAACCATAGAATAGATAACACCAAAAATGAACCCAGTGCAACTGTAGACTTTGGGTAATAATGTGTCAATTTAGATTTATCATTTGTAACAAATACTCCACTTTGGTGGAGGATGATTGTAATAAAAAAGCTTATGCTTGCGTGCAGACAGGAGGCATATGAGAAATCTCTGTACTACCTTCTTAATTTTGTTGTGAACTAAAACTCTTAAAAAATAAAACTCTTTATAAGAAAAATTCAAACCTTTATTGTCAAAAGAAACAACATGATTAACTAATAGTTTCATTAATTAGAACCAAAAATAACCAATACTCATAACCAAAATGTTTTCTTTGTATACTTATGGCAGACGTTTTTTCCTAAAATAGTATTGTGAACATGGGTTTTGGAGTTATAACTCAAATGGCAATCTCTTGTTATTTATTTCTGTAACCAAATTGTTTTATTACTTTTAGCCTCCATTACTTATCTATGGAGTAAAAATATACTACGAATTTTTAATGATTACATTATAGCATTGTCATCATGATATTAAAATAATGGATACAAAATAAATCTTAAATACCTTGCATGTAACAGACACTTTCACACAATATTTATTCATGCAATTATGTTCTAAGTCTCTACCTTAGCGTCAAAATCCTCCATAATGTACTGTTCAGTCCAAATGCAGCAGCCATTATGCTTTGCAGATAGAAATCCCTCATGGCCATGAAACTCTGGGTCTTTCTGTGCCTAGGAGTTCACTGGACCTTCTTTCAGACTCTGGTGCACATCACAGCTATCTTGCAGTATGCTTACTGCCAACTAGGACATGATATACCTTTGTACCTAATGTTCATTTGTCATTTGTCCAGGCTCAGAAAAAATAAATAAGGCCAGTCAAAAACAAAAGTGTGAAATGAATGATTCATTTGTTTTTGAATCTGTTTTTTTGTTTCCCTTTGCAAGTAATCTCTGCCTTCAGGCTCTTCCCAATTAAGAAAAGAGCGTGGAAGAACTAATGTCTTGAGTGTTCCTAACATAGAGAAGTCATGTATTTTTAAAACTTTTTAGTAGAAAATTTTTACATAATAAAGAGAATAGTATATTAAACCCACAGATATACATGCCTTACCATGCACATGTCCAATCCTATTTTTTCTATAACATCTACTCATTTCTCATCCCCATTCAACCCCACAGATATAATTATTGTTGAAGAAAATCCTGTGTACTTTTTAGAAACTATTTTTGCTGTGGAATTAAAAATCATATGCCCTAAAATCTAGTGTTTTTCTTAGTCTCTATATTAAATTCAAGCAAAATTATATTTAGTTATTTCCACTCAAAAGTAGCATTTTGATAAAATAACTTGTCTTCTGTGTATCTTGGCAGTCTAACTAAAGCTTAGAGAAACATCTGGAGTGTTGATCATTATATTAATAATGGTTATTTCTAGTTTGTGGAATTTTGAGTGCTTTTTTAAAATTCTCTCTACTTTCCTTAAATTTTTTTCAAATGACGTATATATTTTTTTAAAGATTTATTTATTTATTCATACAGAACTGGGGTACAGGCCAGAGGCTCAGGGGCGGTGAGAGGCTTCACCAGAGACAGAGTGGGGAGCAGAACAGGCAGATCGACGAAGTACACTGCTGAGGGAAGCAGTGGGCGGGTCAGGAGAGGTCTGGCTCGCCATGTGGTCTCCTCCGGGGCAGGCGGGAATTGAACTCATGCGGAAGTGGCTTCAGATTCTCAGTGCTGTGCTTTAACCCGCTGCGCCACCAGGGAGGGCCTCAAATGACCTATATGTTTTATAAAAATAAGATAATTATAATATGGAGGGTTTAAATCATTTATCAGAATTTTAATTTTTAGGGTACAGTTCTATCTCAAGAAACAAGTCAAGTAACTCAGCATCATAAATCTGGCTTTCAGGACAACAGTGTTAAATGTCAGCAAAGAAAACATGAATCTCACAAAAAATGTAAGTTTTAAGTTCGAGAAGTATAATTGTGCTAACTGCTCATTCCTATTTTTATTAACTAACAGCTTTATTGAGATGAAGTTCAGGTACCATAAAAATTCATCCTTTAAAAGTATGCAGTCTGTGTTTTTTGTTTTTTTATTAAGTTTTACAACCAGCAACACTATCTAAAAACAGAATATTTTCATTATCCAAAAAATAAACATTTGTCTGTATTAACATAAATGTCGTAGCCACTAGCAATCATTTGTTTACTTTCTACCTCTGTGAATTTTCCCTATTCTGGACATTTCTTTTATATGGAACCATGACTTGTGTGATCTTTTTGGACTGGCTTCTTTCAGGTAGTATGTTTTCAGAGTTCATCCTGCTTCTCACATGTATCAGTAATACATCCCTTTATATGGCCAGATAATATTGCATCATTTACATTCTGCATTTTATTTATCCATTCATTTGTTGATGGGTATTTGGGTTGTTCCCATTTTGGAGCTTTAATGAATAATGTTACTGTTTTTGTGTGAGCATATATTTGCAGTCCCTTAGGAATATGTGAATGAATTGAATTATTAAGTCATATATTGAATTTATATTTAACTTTTTATGGAATGACCAAACTGTTTTCCAAAGTGACTATACCATTTACATTTCCACCAGCAATATATGAGAGTCCAGTTTCACCACATACACTAACACCTCTTATCTTTTTCATTATAGCCATCCTAGTTGGTGTGAAGTAGAATCTCTGTGGTATTCATTGCAGTTCATTAATGTCTAATAAAATTGAGGATCTTTTACTGTGCTTTTGAACTATTGGTATGTCTGCTGTAGAAGAATCTCTAATCAATAACTTGCTTGTTTTTATTATTTTGTTTAAAATTTATTATTTTTTATTATTAATTATGACCTTAGGTGCATATCACCAGACCACACTCATCAAGGCACCCATGTCCTCAAACAGTCTGTCGTGCCCTCCCCCCTGCTCTGTTTCCCACCCCTCCCTTTCTGGTAGCCTCTATTCTATAGTCAAATTTCAAAGGTTTGTTATTGACCTTTCATTTCATTTCTCTATATTCCACATGTAAGAGATGCCATTGGTATTTTTCTCTCTTTCTGATACTTCATTTATCATAATATCCTCTATTTGATTCCTGTTGTCACAAATGGTAGGCATTCATCTTTTTTTTGTAACTAGTACTCCATTCTACATATATACCATACTTGTCTAGTTGTTTATATATACTGTATACTACATGCTTGTGAGATGTTTGATTTGCAAATACTTGTTCTCATTCTGTGTGGTGCCTTTTAACTCTTTATAGTTCTATAAAGCATTAATGTTTTTGATCAAATCCATTTTTTCTTTTTTTTTTATTGCTTTTTATTTAACTGCTGTCTTTAGGTATCATATTTAAGATACCACTTACTAATCCATGGTGGCAAAGATTTACATTTATGTTACAATTTGAAAATTTTCTATTTTTAGCTGTTACATTTATGTGTTCTTCCTATATTGATTAATATGAAATGGGACTTTTTATTTATTTATTTGCATGTGTATATTTAGTTGTCCTAGTACATTTGCCAAAACTGTTCTTTCCCTGTTGAATTCTTCACACACTATCGAATATTTTTGGGAATGTGGCAAAAAAATCAGCAGACCATAGATGCTGACCTTTTCACTGTATTCCTCTGATTTATATGTCATCTTTGTCTTGATTACTATAATGTTAAGAAATTGAGAAATTTAATTCCTACAACTTCATTTTTCTTTTTCAAGATTGTCTTATCTATTCTGGGTCCCTTGCATTTCCATATAAATTTTAGGACTAGCTTGTCTATCTCTGCTGAAATGTCAACTAGAATTTTTATAGGCGCTGTATTGAATCTGTAGATCACTCTGTGTAGTATTATCATCTTAATATTATTAAATCTTTCTACCTGTAAATGCAAAATTATTTTCCATTTATTAGATTTTCTTTCTTTCAGTGATGTCTTAAGTTTTTAGTGTGCATATCTTACATTCTTTTGGTTTACTGTGTTCCTAAATATATATTTTCCAATGTTATTGTAAATGGATCTGTTCCCTTAATTTTATTTTAAGTTATTTGTTGCCTTTTATAAAAATAAAACTGACTTTTCTGTTGCTCTTGTACAGAGCCACCTTGCTGTACCTGCTTATTAGCCCTAATTTTTGTGTCTTCTCAAAGAGAGATATTTTGCGTTTCTTCTAAAAATTATGGATGCTTTTTATTTATTTTTCTAGTTTAGTTGCTATGACTAGAGCCACAAGTACTGCTGAGTACAAATGGTGAGCATGAATATCCTTATGTTAATCTTAGGGTTCAGCTTTCAGTTTTCAGTTTTCCACTGAAATGTTAGCTGTGAAGTTTTGATGGGTACTCTTTGTTAGGTGAGGAAATTCCCCTCTATTCCTGGATTATTAATCTTTTCTTTCTTTATAATTTTTTAAAATCTTGTATTGTTAATTTTGTCAAATGCACTTTCTTTGACTTTTGTGGATTTATTTGTAAATTAATATGGTATCTTCCATTGATTCATATGTTGACCCAACTATGAGTTCTTGGTATAAATACCACTAGGTCATGGTGAAATCCTTTCTATATGGTACAGGATCTGATTTGCTAGTAATTTGTTAACATCTGTGTTCATAAGGGATATTTGTAATAGTCCTTCTGTCTTTTGAGTTAGTTCTTTGATATGACTGTCTTCCTACAGTAAAGTGGGAAGTATTCACTCTTCTGCATTTTGGAAATTTGGGAAAAGTTGGCGTTATTTTTTTGAAACATTGGTAGAATTCACCAGAGAAGCCATCTGGGTCTGGACTTCTCTTTATACATAGCTTTCATCCTTAATAATTTATTTTTTATTGTTACAAGTCTACTCATATTGTTTCCACGAGTCAGTTTTAATAATGTGTGTCTTTGTAGTAACTTATTCATTTCATCTAGGTTATCTAATTTGTTTGTATACACTGTAGTCCTTTTTATTTTCTTAAGGTCAGTAGTAATACTTTTTCATTTCCATCATCTCTCTTTTTTTCCTAAGTCTGTCTAGCTAAAAATTTGTCACTTCTCTCAATCTTTTCATAGAATCAACTTCTGGTTACACTAATTTTTCACAATTATTTCCTGGTCTTTTTTTTGTATTATTTCTGAAATGATCCTATGATTCCTACCCTTTTGTTTTGGATTTAATGTGCTCTTTTCCTGGTTTCTTAAGACAGTTATGTTATTTTATTGATTTGAAGTTGTTTTTTTTTAATATGGGCATTTTTTAACTTCCTTCAAAGCACTACTTCAGCTGATTCTTTAAGTGTTAATGTGTTGTGTGATCCTTTCTTCTCCAAGCATCTTCTAATTTTCTAAGGACTACTTCTTTAACTCATTGGTTACTTAAGAGACTGTTGTTTAATTTCCATATGTTTATAAATTTCCTTCTGTTACATTTTCTTATTTTATTTGTTTGTGACTAGAAAACATACTTTAACTTCTATTCTTGTAAGTTTATTGAAGCTTGTTTTGTGGCTTAATCTATAGTCTGTCTTGGAGAACTTTCAGTGGACACTTGAGTAGGATATATATTCCACTATTTTGAAATGGTGTGTACTAAATGATACTTTTTAGACCTAGAGATTAATACTGTTGTACAGACCTTCCTGTTTGATATTTTATCTCGTGTTCTAAATGGAATTGAAATTGAGGCATTAAAAAATCTCAACTATTGTTATCTATTTTGTCTTTCAACTTTTATTAGATACTGTTTCATGTTGGGGCTCTGTTATTAGAATACATGGTTGTAATTTTTTTTTTTTAAAGATTTATTTATTTATTCATACAGAGATGGGTTACAGGCCAGAGATGCGGAGGGTGAGAGGATTCACCAGAGACAGAGTGGGGAGCAGAACAGGCAGATCGACGAAGTACACTGCTGAGGGGAGCAGCGGGCGGGACAGGAGAGGTCTGCCTCGCCATGTGGACTCCTCCGGGGCAGGCGGGAATCGAACCCATGAGGAAGTGGCTTAAGCTTCATAGTGCAGTGCTTTAACCCGCTGCGCCACCAGGGAGGGCCCATGGTTGTAATTTTTAAGTACTCCTGATGAATTGACTCTCTTATTATAAAGATCCTTTTTAATATTTTTATAATGAGGTAACATTTGTTTACATGGTATATGTTTGTTTTTTTTAAAGATTTATTTATTCATATAGAACTGGGGTACAGGCCAGAGATGCGGAGGGTGAGAGGATTCACCAGAGACAGAGTGGGGAGCAGAACAGGCAGATGGATGAAGTACACTGCTGAGGGGAGCAGCGGGCGGGTCAGGAGAGGTCTGCCGCGCCATGTGGTCACCTCTGGGGCAGGCGAGAATCGAACTCATGCGGAAGTGGCTTAAGCTTCTCAGTGCAGAAGTTCACACATCTGGAAATGTATATTGCCACACCATGCTTACCACCAAAACATTTATAATCCTCCACCACAGACCATTTGAAGGTTTCTTCTTTACCTCTATTAGTAATTTTTGTCTTAAAGTTCTCTTTTGATACTGTTTCTACATATCATAAACTTTTAATCTTTTTACTTCTGATCTATAATATGTGTTTATAGATGTAAGATATATCCGTTATAGAAAATACACATTATTGTTTCTTTGTATTTGTATTTTCTTTGTATTTTTCATGTAAAAAAAGGTAACATGGAAACTCCATAAAATCAGCTTTTCTCCATCCCTACCCTAGGATTTTTAACTGTCTGTTGTGGTTGTCATGGTTGATTTGTTTAGTGTTTTATTAAAGCTTGTTTTGTTCTACAGTGTCTGTAGTCTTCATCATGTGGTCAGTGAAGTCTCTGTTTAATTACCTCAGTGATCAGGGGCTTATTCATTCATTCATTCATTTATAGTCAAACATTATCAAAAAATGAACAATGACATAATCTGTCTACCTAAATATATATGTAATCTACATAATATATATAATACAATGTTATATTATATATAATTTATATAGTATGTTATATATGATATGACGTGTTATATGTCAATATTAATATATTAATAATATATTAATGTATAACATATTTTATATATATTGTAATATAATACATATAATTTATATTATATAACATAACATTATATAAATTATATATAATATCTAGATAGACAGATTTTACATATATATGTATTTAGATAGATAGATTATATCATTGCTCATTTTTTGTTAATGTTTGATTCCCTCTCTCAGGTGTAGTCCTCCTAAAATTCCCACCACAAAGAGCACCATAGTCTCTGGTGTTCTTCCTGCCCCTGTTTTAATCATTCTCCCTGCCTCCCTGCTGAACATCTCCAATTTATAGTTTTCTTCTAGTTTTGTCTTTTTTCCCCCCTCTTTTTGTCCCTTGTTAGGTTTCCTTGTATGCCTCCTATGAGTGAATCATCTGGTATTTTCTTTTTCCTTCTAACTTATATATTTTCTAAGATTTATTTATTTATGCCTACAGAACTGGGGTACAGGCCAGAGGTACAGGGGCAGTGAGAGGATTCACCAGAGACAGAGTGGGGAGCGGAACAGGCTGACTAAGTAGCGAGCTGGTCAGGAGAGGTCTGCTGCGCCATATGGATCACCTCCAGAACGTGGATCAAACTCTTGCTGAAGTGGCTTTAGCTTCTTGGTGCTGTTTACCCACTGCACCACCAGGGAGGGTCCTCCTTTGACTTATTTTACCATAATCCCTTCCTGCTGTATCCAGGTTGCTATGAATGGCATAGATTACCTTTTTATTGCCAAGCAGTATTCTATCGTGTATATATACCACATCTTCTTGATCCAGTCATCTGTTTGGGGGCATTAAGGTTGTTTCCATATCTTACCTATTATAAATAGTGCTGCAGTAAAGATAGAATTGCATGTTTCCTGTAGAACTAATGCTTTTGTGTCCTTTGGATAGAGTCCTAGGAGGGAATTGCTCGGTTATATGGAAGTTACATTTTTAGTAATTTGATGAACCTCTGCACAGCTTTCAGTAGTGGTTAGGCCAGTGTGCATTCCCACCAGCATTCCGTTTTTTTCCTCATCCTGACCAGCACTTGTTGTTGCCAGTTTTTGTTTTTTTTTTTAATGTGTCATTCTCACTGGTGTGAGCTAGTATCTCATTGTGGTTTTGCTATGCAAAACCTGATACAAGTGATAGTGACCTTTTACCTGTAGACAATTAGCATTTCCTCTCTGGAGAAGTGTCTTTTTTAGGTCTTCTGCCCAGTTTTTGACTGGATTGTTTGCTTTGTTTTTGTTGAATCATGTGAGCTCTTTCTAGATCTTTAAAACCAGCCCCTTATCAGTTTTATGGAGTGGAAATACTTTCTCCCAGTCACTAGGGTGTCTCTCTGTTTTGTTATTGTATCTTTTGCAGAAGCATTTTAGTTTGATGTAATCCCAGATGTTTATCTTTTCCTTCACTTTCTTTGCGTCAGGGAATGAATCTTTTAAAGATGTTTTTGAAATGTACGTCCTGGAGTATTTTGGCTATATATTTTTTTATATGTTTTATGGCTTTGGGTCTTATGTTCATGTCTTTTACCCATTTTGAGTTGTTTTTGTACATGTTGTGTAGTAGTTGGAAATGTTTTTATGGCCTGTGATTTGCCCCAGAAGCCCCTGCTTTCCCAGGTCCCACTACATAGAATGGAATTCATTGTCTCAGCTTGGGATAGTCAAGAGTCTCCTGTGTCTGCCCCACCAGGCACCTGCCGAGGCACAGTCCCACGAGGTGCCTGCTACCTGAGTGGGATGTACATCTGTGTTGAACTGTAGGTCCCTTTAGGACCTTAAGGGAGCAGGACAAAAAGAAAACAATGAGGAAAAAAGTAGCAAAAAAGGAAGAAAGACAAGGAAATAAAAAAGAAGAAATAAGCAAGAAAGAGAGGAAGAGGAAGGAAGAATAAGAGAAGGAAAGGAAAAGAAAAACTTAATGATCATGGGAAGAAAAACTTAATGATCATAGGGAAAAAATAGAACAAAGGAAAAAAAGTGGGGAAGAATTCCACTCAGGACTCTCTTGGCTCCCAAGGAGCTAATAGCCACTGTTTAGTCTACTTAGGGACAACTTAAAGCTGAGTGGGATAATCTTCCTAGGGTCTGTAGTAGATGGATGTTTATGTTTATGTTCAAAATATTACTCATGTGTTACTCATTTATTGATTGATTTAACTGCTACTTATTAAGCTATTATGTGTGCTGTTCAAGGCTTTGAAGGATACATGTGTAAAAAGGCAGACAATTGTTCAAGTATTAATTACATTCTAAGGTGGAGATTTATAATAAAAACTAAATAATAATTGCAGTAATCTGTAGAAATGATAAATGCTATGGCATATTAACAAAATAGAGTGATACAGGTGCTATTTTTTAAATGCCTCACTAACGGCATAATTTGAGCCAACATCCAAATCAAAGGAGAGTAGAATGGTATGGACTATGTAAAAAAGCTTGCTAAATAGCAAAATAATTAAATAAAAGAAAATAAATTTAAAGAAAAAAATAGCTTGCTAAAAAACTTTCTAGTAAAGGAAATAGTACATACAGAGTCCAGTGTCTAATTTATTCTACTATATATCTGCATGGTATTTTATTTATTTTTATATGGCATATAGTATAATAGTGCTCCTTTAAAGTGTTTTACTAAAAAGTTATTTTCTAAAGAGCTTTCATAGTTTTTTTTTTTTTTAGTTTGGTTCCATTTAATAATGCTAGACAATTTTTTTGCATCAGTATCCATGTTATTTTTGTTTTGTTTACATTTTGAGTACAATGAGATTAATGCCTCGAGATATCTGATAAATATAACTTAAGAGTTTATATTTAATTAAAATGCATTATTTTCTTCAAATTGTCATTTACATACATTATGTAACATTATGTGAAATTCTAATTAGTTTCCATTTGTGTGTGTCTGTGTGTGTGTCTGTGGGGGTGGGTGGCTGAGTGGTGGGGTATGTAAATAAAGGTTTAGTGTAGATAATATCAACTCACTTTCTTTTTCTCCTTTCCATAGATTACTATTTCCTTCTCTTTCCTTCCTTATCTCCCGTACCTTCTTAATAGGCTCCTTTCTTCCCAGCTCACTGTTTCCCTCTTCTCATCTCTGTCCCTTCCTTCTTTCCTACCTTTGTTCCCTCCTGTCCCCTCCCCCTACTTTTCTCTCCTCTTTTCTCGTTTAGTCCCATTCACCCCATTACCTCTTCCTATCTTCCTCCTGCCTTCTTTTCTTCCTTTCTTCCATTTTTTTATCTCTTCCATCTTCTTCTAATTCATCCTTCTCATTTTTCATACTATTCGCTCAATTTTCCCTTGATAGGAATACTAAAGTAGCTTCCTAATTAGTCCTTTACATTCATCATACATATCTAATAAGTCACTGCCATATTTTAATCTTCCCAAGGCATAATACCTGATCGAATCACTACTTGCTCAAAACCTTTCTGTGATTGGTTGCCCATTTCCTACCTGTTTAATATCGTAATCTTCAGTATCTTGCAGATTATGTTCCAACCTCATTCAATTAAGTCTGTTCCTCCTTACTCTCCAGAAGAATTGGTCTACTTGAGGCTCCATAAACACAGAGCTTGTTTTCTGCTTCCATGTGTTTCCTCCTATAATTTCCTTTTGCCTGGAATACCTAGTCTTGTACTCTGTCCTTTGGAGACCTGCCATCCTTCAAGACTCAATTGAATGCACACTTTTCTTTCCCCTTATTTGTAAATATCTCTTCTCTACTTTCTTAGATCGTAAAGTCCTCAAGATCAAAGTCTCCTTGGAATTCTGTGTACTTTTAGCATAGTATGGTAAATATTTGGTAAATGTAACTGGTCTTAGGAAGTTCTTTGATTCACCAAAATTTCTATTATCTTGTTCTAGTTAAAGAAGAGTGCAAGAGTCCCAGAACTGACAGTCAGTCACAAAAAATGTCAAATAAGCAGGTAAGCATTCTTAAAATCAAATTGCTAGTAGTTTTTTTTATTGTAATTGGCAACTCTGTGTCATCTTTCTGAATTCTGCAGCTCTTTCAACCAAATCCATAAAATGTATGGCTGAAGTCATTTGGATGGATGCACAGTGCCAAGTTCAGGATTTGTCATTGAGTTACCTAAAATCCTGATCCTGCCATTTGATAGTTACAAGACCTTGAGCAATTTGCCACGCACTTCATAGCCTCAATTTCCTCATCTTTAAAATGGGTACAAAACAGACCACTTAGTCTTTTAGTATATATAACTTATATACATACAAGCATACACATAGGTGTGTGTATATGTATAAAATTTGAAGAAATGTTTATATATGTACAGTGAAAGTATATGGAACAATATAGCAAAGTTGATGATTATGCAAAGTTGGGTCATAGGAAACTGAGGTTTATGTTTTATATAGTCTTAGCTGTTTAATAATGAGTATATATACATTTTGTAATTGAAGAATGACAAAGTTTAATATAGAAAACTTAAGCATGTATTCTTGTTATGTGAATTTTCTATGTGCATATTATATTTTAAAATAGTTTAAAGCTTGAGCCTCCTATAAGCTAGTAGTATAATAAATTTATCAAAGACATCTTACCAGAATATTTGGCACGTAGGAATTTCTCAGTAAGTGAAACCCATTATTATAATTCAGCCAGTAAATTATTAAATTAAATTACTTTTAAGACCCCCCTCCTTCTGAACTCCTGTGCTATAATCTTGCTTCTAGAGAAAGAATTAAACTTTTTGTGCTACTTGGGTGAAGCCTCTGGACTCTTCCTCATAATATTTTTAGCACTAAAATAAAATACATAAGATTGGAAAGTACTGTTCTTATGGTTTATTGCCTGTATTCATAATTGGAGGAACTGACTCTTAAAACTTAGATGTTGATGAAGATAAAGATATAATTTTTTCCTCATCCAAGTTTACAGGCCTCCATTTTTCTTTAGGATTTAAAACTTAAAAAAGGTTTTCAGTTATTTATTCATACCATTATTAGATAATAATTATAAGTTTTATTTGCTCTTTTATAGATGTTTGGAGGGTCTGCCAAAGGAAATATTAAGCTGCTGAAGAGAAATGAAAATGCGGAAGTCTCAGAAAACCAAAAGTTTGTGACTGGTTATCCAAGTAATGATGATAAGGTAAAAGACCATTCATTCTGGCTCTCCCTGCTGTGCAGCAGGTAAAAGCACAGCACTAAGAAGCTAAAGCCACTTCCACATGAGTTCAATCCCCTCCTGCCCCAGAGTTGACCACATGACGGGGGCAGACCTCTCCTGACCCGCCGCTGCTCCCCTCAGCAGTGTACTTCTCAGTCAACGTGTTCTGCTCCTCACTCTATTTCTGGTGAATCCTCTCACCATCCCTGCATCTCTGGCCTGTATTCTAGTTCTGTATGCAGAAATAAATAAATCTTTACAATTAAAAAAAAAATCATTCAGTTTCTCTTCCCAAATGTAACACCTGAGAAGATGATTGGGTAAAAATTAAATAATTATTTTTGTACATAAAATTCTCAGCTTTTCCTGTATTCTTTACCTTCATCTTCATGCATAAAATATTTATTCTTTTAGCCTAAGCCTGGAATTGAGAACTTTTTAGCATCCTTGAATATTTCCAAAGAAAATGAAGTACCATCATCTCATCATGAAGAGCCTCCAAGTGAAGAACATTTGTCACCACAGTCATTTGCTATGGTTCGTATTTTATAGGAACTTTTGTAGTATGATAATTGTTGGCCATGATGATATACCCCATGAAACCGTTATAACACCCCCCTGTTGTAGACTCATGTGTTGCGTCATCATTATGCTGTGAGGAATATCAGACCTCCTATGCAGGTTAGCCATCTTTTCCGACTTTTGCTCCTTTGCTTTTCAATCCTGGCTTACTGGATAATTTGATCAGAAGCTATTGGTTCTCCTTACTCTCTACTTGAGTGTAGTTACTGTCATCCTGATTTTTTAATAGTTGAACTCTTAAAAAGAAGGATCAAAAGCTTTTCAAATAATGTTGACTTTTCTTCTCCTGTCCCACCATTTCCATACCAATCATTTTCAAAACAGAAGGGAACGCGAATGCTTAAAGAAATTCTGAAAATTGACAGCTCTGATACTGTGGACCATAAGAATGAAGTGAAACAATTTGGTAATGAAGTCTCTAGTTGCTCTGCTAGAAGAGATGAATATTGCTCCTCCTCCCAATCTAAACAAAACAAGAAATTAAGTAAGTAAAATAAGTATTTCTGAATTATGTATTTTCTAAAAATTAAACTACTTTTATTTTTTAAAGTGTAGTTAAGAATACCATACGTAAAATTTGTATACTTATGTCATTTATATCATAATATAGCTATGTAAATAAGATTTATAGTCATTCAGTGTATTCTAATGAATACTTAAATTGTACTACTACACTCACTGTATAGATTGCAAAATTAGAAACATTTTCACTCTGGATTTTTTCCCTTAGACACATTACTTAAGACACATTACTTAACTTAGCTAAAATTCTGTTTTTCTGGTTTATTAAATGAACATAACTTTGCAAATGATTGGCTTGTATAAAGCAGTTACTACTGTAACTGGTATATTGTGAGTAGTAATAATTGATAATAAAATTACTGTTAAAATAAACTGAACTATCGGTGACTTCCGGAAGATGGCGGCAGAGTAAAGACGCCGAGATCACCGCGTCCAAGCCGGCATAGGAATTGAGGACTGAAAACAGACTATAGACTCATTTACTACAAGTTTTAACCCAAACGAAAACACCCTGGACTCACTAGAAGGTAGATAACTGCGA